CAGTGCCCTCATTAATACAAGGTAGTATTTTCAAATTTCAAATTTTACTAGATGAAACAAATGTTTTTTTTTCAATTTATGCTGCATTTTAATTCCCATCATTCAGCAAATTTATTTGCGTGAACACTACTGAACACATTCCAAGCACAGCCTTGGCAGCAGCAGGGTGTCTAAGAGGTGCTGGTTACTTTGACATGGCTGTTAAACCTGATGAGGGATTTGAACAAGGACCAACAGGCTAATCTGTGGCCTGGTTTAGCCTGATCAGGCCAGTTATTTTGGGGTTACAGGTTACACCTTATGCTGATAATGTATGACCTCTTGATTATGGCCTAATGGACTTTTTACTAGTCAATTGAGTATGCTTGAATTTTTTTGGCTGTGGCTGCTCATGCAAGCTAAAATGTCTTGGTAACATTGGCCAATGTGCTATGCTAATGTGTGCTCTACTAATGTGTGCTAACTTGCTCTGTTAATGTGTGCAAATGTGCACTAAAAAATTCCTAATACTAATAATATCTCGTGTCATATTTGTCATATTCTTCTAATAATATTTACAGAAGAACAGTTGAACCCATTAATGATGAGAATTATTTTCTGAATTTTTTTTTGTTCCTTGTGAGAATATTATCATTTGTGATGGTAATAAACAAAAAATATGTTCATATATTTATTTTTTGTTGTACCGGTATGTGAAATATTATAGCTTGGTTCCATATGGAACCGCTTGGCATTAACATAATGTTTCTTCAAACAACACTTTTTCCAATGGTAAATCAAGCAATGTTATTCATAATGGATAATATGTATACCTATGTAATATAATATGTATTCATAATATATGTATAATATGTTATGTAATATAATATGTATTCATAATGGACAATACTGATGATAAACCAATCATGGCAGAATACAATTTAATTTTTAGCATAGAATGATTCCATTCATTCAAAATGAATAGGATAAAGTAGAAAATAAAATACTTAAAAAAACTTTTTAAAAAAACACGTTTTTCTTGTGGACTAAAAAGTAGAAAATAAATTATGGTTCGCCCCAAAAGAACGTGGGTCGGGCTGTACGTTCACCATCAGATTTCCAAAATTTAAAATTCTGCCCGACAGACGTTTTTTTGGGGCGAACCATAATTTATTTTCTACTTTTTAGTCCACAAGAAAAACGTGTTTTTTTAAAAAGTTTTTTTAAGTATTTTATTTTATTTAGGGTCTCCTGCATTATTGCATTTCCTAACTGATATTTTTGAAAATTTATTGCAATAGCCATTCTTTTTTTTTTCAAAAGTTTTTTGAGAAGCCAAATGAAACCAGAATAGATATCACATATAATATGTTGGCTTGGGACCAATTGTATCATGTTTATGGGACCAATCCATGTTCTAGCCCATGAATAAGTTTCTTTTTCTATTAGATCCACCAATTGGCTTCAATTGCAGAAAAACATCATCTGATTTATCTGCTGCCCAAAGTTTATAACTAAATCTCACAGGCTAGCCACATATGTGTCGTAGTATAATGTGGTCATGTTGACCACAGTTGACTTTCTTCTCTGTTGATAGTCATTGTATTCACATTTGGTAATTACTGTTGCTACAATGACTATTCTTGATAGGCAAGCAGAATTGCTAGTGGCTGTGTCATCTGAGTTATCTGAATCTCAGTATGTTTTGTTTGTTGCTGCTTCTGTGAAAGGTTCAGTAGCAAATATTTGATCTTCATGTTATTCTTCTCTCTAAATCTCAATTTTTTATTTCATGTGACGATCTGCCAAAAATACAATTAGAAAAAAATATAACTCAGTACTCACTGCAGTGAGTGACAGAGAGCGTATTTTCTTGTCAACGAAAACTTGAGGTCATGGACAGATGGATGGACAGACAGACGGTCATGGCAAGCACAATAGTGCATTTTTTCCATAAATGAGAAAATGCGCTAAAAATATAACTCGGTACTCACTGCAGTGAGTGACAGAGAGCTCATTTTTTCGTAGACAAAAACTTGAGGTCACGGACAGACAGACGGACGGACGGACGGACATGGTGAGCGCAATAGTGCATTTTTTCCATAAATGAGAAAATGCACTAAAAAGTGACTCGGGATGAAAAATCATATAGTGTTCAACGTACTTACTTCCAAATATTTCAACTTTTGGGATATCTACTCCTAACATCTCTAAAGATAATAGTTCACTAATAAATAACAGATTTCTAAACACAGACAAGTTTTTGAAATACAATGCGTAACTATATCACAAAGTAATCTACTAGGAAAATGAGATGACCGGAATGCTTACACTACTGACGAGCAGTTCCATTTGGAACCAGACAAAATATTTCATGATCTAAATGACTTTAGAAACATTATATCACGTAATACCATATACAGTATTAAACGTACTCTCTTTATTGATGAAATTCTGCATCTAACTCATAAATAATATATTTTTAGAACAAACTACTTATCTTTCTCTGCAATGATGTCAAGCTCTTTTGTCTGACACCTGGTACTTACAATCTTTTAATGTTAACTGAGCAGGGAGCAGTCGGTGCAGCAGAACCAAACATTGCCAGAACACATCCAAGATGTGTATCAAACCTATGGATCCACTAGTATATTGATTTGACCATACAATTTTATTATGAATCAATTTTTTCCACTGGTTCCAAATGGAACTGCTCAGCATTAATGGGTTAAACTTTAAAACATACTCAAAATTAAAATTTTATCATCTAATTTTTATTTCTATCATAAAATTGATTTTATTCATCATTCTGGAGAGCGTGTACCAGTACCTACATAATGATTTATGCAATATCATATTCAGTCAATGCATTGGGAACCTTCAGTTCCAGTAAAACTGTACATTTCAAGATATTGCTTTACTTGAATTATGTTTGGTTGCCTATTAATTTTACTCCTAATTATCTATACCATCTTAACTCAATCTTATGTTTGCTAAGTTGCTTCAGTTGCTCCATTATGATGTGTTTGATATTGTAAATTCTGCATTTCTTGTTCATTTAGAATTTAAATGTTGGAAACTTGACTACCATAATTTTTTTATTTTTGAAGTTGTGTTCTAATTGCCAGTCCTTTTACTAATCTCCAAATTCTCAGAGATTAGGGTGGAGAACTGTTCATTTCTTGCCCATTTGGAGGTTTAAGTTGCCTCATACATTAAGTAGCATTTATTCCTAGCCTGGTATTTGTCTGACACATGTAGCCCTATATGTGTCTGTTCCTTTCTTTCTTTCTGCTGCCTGCTTAGGCAGGCAAGTAAATAATATAAATTTTTAATTTTTCTTGCCCCCTCCTTTCACTGCTATGCCCTGTAATAGGCCTTTATTTCTCTTAACTCTTTCAACCCTTACTTTGGTAAGCTCTGCACACGTGTTTACTCACATGCAGTTTGCTTAGTACATGCCTCATTACCCATACCTTCTACCCACAAATCCTTGCTAGTCCTTACTTGGGACCTTGATTTTAGCCCAAAATATTTGACCCCCAAGTTTACTCCCCCTAAGTTTTGTAATAAACTATTTGTAATGTGAAATCCTGTTTTAAAATAAGCACTCTACCAATAAAACTCTTTTATTCTCCAATACCTATTCTACTGGGGATGTTGCCAACTACACAAGTAGGTGCTGGGTTCACCACATCTGTGGCAAGAGATATTATCCACCAGCAAAAACATAAACCATCAAGTAAAAATTCAATAAGGGCACTGAGAAACATAAGGACTTGAAACATCAGGCAAGCATGCCTGAAAATAGTTTATAGGTAGTTTTAAATGCAACTCCCAAGGGCCAAGTGATAAGAAAGGATTTATTTACACATAATACAAGAAAAATTGCATTCATGTCTGTTAACCAAGAAACTGAATGAATATAAGTCAAATTGTAAACATCAAATGCAAGTTTTCTATAAATTAGATCAAAGACAGACAACTAATAACCAAACAACATGGCACAGGAAATAATAGTAATATGGATAACAGTGCAAGTAAGGAAACTAACATTACTATGTACAATTTATCACCTATATTGCATGCACTCAGTTCAACTCACCAGGCACAGTGAGCCTTTCTTAATTATTGCTTATTAAAGTGCATTTGGCTTCCCTTTACTCTACTTCCAAACATTTGCCCATATACCATACAAACTACCATAGAGTGAATGAAACATAAAATTACATATCATATCAAATAATACAACATAACATATTAATTAAGTAAATTCAATGGTCCATCTGCTTTGCTAAATTGAATCAAGTTGCCAAAATAAATAAATATGTATTGCTGTATTGCTAAAAATGACAAATGAGTGAAATGACTGAAGATGGTTTGAGCTATCAAATACCATGTATAACTGCCCAGTAACTGTCTATTAATAATTAATGTTAAGTTTATTTGTTAAGCAAAACTAAGGTAAACCAAGAAGGGGATGAACTGTACACTTATAAACAATACAGTGTTATAATGTTAATGTCTGCAATGATGTGATGTCCCAGATATGCTTTGGACATGCATCCATGTGTGGCTGCATAGTGGTGCTAATATACACATTTTTTGCACCACCAGGAATGTTGGATTGCACAAATATTGGAACATTTTCCTTAACCAGCAAATAACTTTTATGTGGATATGTGCCCATAGTAATCATTAATAAATTATTAAATTGTCTATAAATGTAACTTGGCCAATTACATGCTGTCAGTGTTCCAAATGAATCATTTAGGTTTAAATTCTTACTGTACTTTGAATCCTGAATTTAGAGTATAGTAAGAAGCCTAACTGACTGGCTGCTTATCTTATATTTAATAATAATGAAAAATTCTGGTGTCTACTGAATTATTTTACTGCTCACTCTGCAGTCAGCATTCTTGAAATAATATCTCCTGCATTGGTTTTAACAAGAACAGATTTTCCATAGGGTGTTATGGCATAATGGACAACTGCCTCTAAACATTTATCTGCTTTGTTTTTCCTGTTAAGGTTTAGTTTAGGTTTTACTCTCTAAATCATAAGCAGCATAATATGAAGCAATGGTACAGGCGCTGTCTTCTCTGGGTTTGCATGGTTATGATTGGTGCTCTCTCTGTGACACAAGTAGTGCAAGTGGTCAGTGTTGGTGGGGAGGTAACCAGTTATGATGAATCCTCTAAACCTTCCATGCAATTTCCCAATTTCTCTCACCATGAAGAAATGGATGATTTGATGGACAAAATAATTTGGTTTATTCAAGTGAGTAAAACTTGAACCTTTTGTGTGTTTTATGATTTATTGCAAAATGTACCAAGTGCAGTATTTAAGATAATTAAAACAACAAATCATTTATTTGAATGTCTTAGGAACATGAAGTTATTAATACTTTTAATACTTGCACAATTCTATTTTGGTTGGGATTTTTTATAGATTATATCAATGTGCTGTAGGCTTCTTTTAATTTAATTTTTACTTTGCAGGTAAGTGACCTTCACTTCAGTATATGGAATGATAAGTCCCGCATCACAGAATTCAGAGATTTCTGTCGTCATTCAATTAGAACAATTGAACCAGCAGTTGTTCTTGCATCTGGTAAGTTTTTATTTAGAAGTTACAAGCTATAAATGAGGTTTAGTTTTGAATTGTAGTCCATTAAAATAAAATGCATAGAATATCACACAAAAATAAATTCTAGAGAAATAATTAGTGATCATCTTCCATAAATTAAAGCTGAATTGAAGAAAAAGTTACTCAATGAAAGTATATTCCAAAATGAGTGTTTGAAATGTATCAAGAAAAGAAACTTGAAGACTGATAGTCATATTCATTTAATGTTTTTAGTGATGAAATATTGTAACAGGTGACTTGACTGATGCGAAGTCAGTTGATGGCATGGGGTCTCTGCAGTACGAGGAAGAGTGGCAATACTACAAGACTATCCTGCAGGAGACGGGCCTCTATAACAACACCGTCTGGCTGGACATCAGAGGCAATCATGGTGACTAGGCCCTTAATCATTTCATTTGTTGACTCTATTCCATAAAAATGCTTTTCTTGAATAATATACTCACAGTTGTGAATTGAAGATTGTTTTAAGACCACATACATGTTGTGTATATAATATAATTGGATTCATGTACATCAATGAATGTGATACATTCATCAAACAAAATTTGCTGAATGTATTTACCTTTTGTTGCTACGCTATTGAAGATGTGAATTTAATCCTGGCAGACAACTTCAACATGGCATCGCTGTCATCTGCCACAAACCTGTACAAGAGTCACAGCGTGCAGGGCGGCCGTCACCCACGCAGCTACTTGCACTCAGTGCGGCGTGCCGGCGTGTCGGTGGCCTTCATTGCTGTGGACACCACGCTGCTGCCCGGTCCTAAACGACCCTTCAATTTCGTTGGTGACTTGAACATTTCCTATTGCATTGTTTGTTACGACATCTACGACGTTATTCCTACATCGTTTCCGCAACACAAATATATCTATCACGCCATTTCTAAAAGTTACTAATGGGTTTATGCAGCTCACATTGTTTTCAAATAGCGTACAAGAGTCATATTACTACTTGAAATTTTTTCTTCTTTAAATACATTACCATGTGTTTGGTACGAACTCTCTGACTTGCTGGTGTAATTGTGTTAGACCCTAACGTGGGATTGTTGGGAGCACGTGTTAACTCTCGTCAGGAGTGCTGCCGCCCTCAGAGCTGTCTTTGCTGCAGCGGCTAGCAGAGGAGGCACGTGCAAGTCACAACCACACCGTATGGTTTGGCCACTACCCAACCTCCTGCATCATAGGGCCTGAGCATGGTGGGTCTAGCCGGTTTTGAACCCATGAAAAAATAGCTATTTTAAGTTGAGGGCTTGATTGCCAAATCTTGAAGAGCTTGTCTTCTCATAGCAGAATAAATGATCAAAATTAGGATAATATTGGTACTATTGAAGCATTATTGATCTATCGATATCGATTATCTGTTATTAATTCAATTTAATTATAATTTTTGTCCAAAATCAATGGCATGAGCTTCCATCTGCCTACAGTGGGCAAGCTACAAAATACACAAAATACATAGTCTAGGTAAGTTGTCGGGATTATGCATTGGTACGCCTATGAACATTGAAGGCCATCAGATTATCACGTTATTCCTCTCCCCTCGTACCTGTTATCAAGATATTTGTGCAAGCTTGCAGCGCCATATTAATGCTTATACGTTGATACACAGGCTGCAAGGACCTGCGTATGGCGATGTCAGGAGGCGTGGCGTACCTGTGCGGCCACCTGCACAGCCTGGGGGGCCTGGTGCCGGCCATGCACGCCCGTCAGCTCAACGGCCTCCTCGAGCTCGAACTCGAGGACTGGAAGGATGGCCGCATGTACGTCGCAGTGTCCTTATGCGCTTCAGGAGTAGGGGTCCCTGGCCACGCTGGAGCACCGTCATACCTGCTTACATATTGTGCTTCAGATCAACTCAGGGTCTAAATTAACTTAATTGAATTCAGAGTGCAGATCATGATTTAAAACTCGCAATTTTTTTGGGCAGCACGAATATTTTATATCAGAGGAATGATTTTTGGTAGCTCCAAAGTTACTGTGTTGAGTTTTCCTCACCAACATGAGTCTCCGCACGGCCGCGTTTGGTTCATACCGCAATCATTTACTCAATTTGTTCAGCCATATTTGCCATTTAAACTTTTGCCCCCTTATAGGTATAGTTGAAATCGGTGCTTGCCAATATGGTATGTGCAAACGTTCTTCGTACACACCGCAAAGGAAAAGAAATTGTATGTACTGCCAGGAGTCAGCGATTGAGATACGTGTATATATGCGAAAATGCTACAGTTTTTGTGGGAAGCCAAGCATTTCTGAGGCATGTCTCAATGTCGTACATCTGCGTCGCCAAAAATATTGTTCAAGACAAACCCATTGAGATGAGTTGTGCCTGCTCGTATGACTAGCGACGGCCTAAGTGATGTATATAGTAGGTAGTGTAATGGAAAGTTCATATAGATCTTCACGGAGATGACTCCTTGATATCTTCTAGGAGGGGACTTGTAGAAAATGATCCTCTTGATTGGGCACATCGCTGGTAGCTAAATGACTTGTTGTTGCTGGACGACCGTTGTCATTCATTCATTAGCCTGAAAACCCGTTGCCTTCAACAGCATTGAGTCAGAAATCTGGCAGAAGTATTTAACAAATCAGAAGTTGAGAACTCCTGAAGTGAGAAGTTGTCATGGGCTCGTCAGCGTGGTGCCGTTCAGGTCATTCATGGACTTTCTGAAGCGCTGAGAAACACACTCATATATTGAGTATCAATATCAGCCGAAAACATAATATTGAGCTAGTATGGTTGTATGTAATTTTGCTTGTTATCTTGGGCAGGTTTCGAGTGATGGCACTTGACGGCGGCCAGTTTTCCTTCATCGACGTGCGCCATAACACGTGGCCTCTCATATTAGTGACCAACCCCTCGCACGCCACCTACACAAACACCCCCTACGCCACCTACGCCGACACCATCAGGGTGCTGGCCTGGTCCCCTTCCTCCATACGCAGGCTGTCGGTGCGTATAGACGAAGCAGGAGCCTGGGTGCAGCTGAGCCATGTCAAGGGTCCACTGTACTCTGCTCGTTGGCAGCCTGCGCTCTACACTGCAGGTTAATGCATGTGAAATGAAAAATTTATACTGGATTTCTAATGTAATATCAATAATTGTTTGATAATTATTCAGATGAAACTATCCATAGCGTTATCGATGATTATTTTGTGACCCAAATTCAATTTAATGTGGTTGTTTGTTCACATGATTGCAGTGATGATGCTGTGTTAAATAATGCTGAACATTTTATTGTATATTGCTTTTTAGCATTGAAAGTTTTTATTGAATAATAATTATGTTGTTATGCTAGGCATATTAGTGTTGATAATGGCGTTGAAGGTTCACTGCACGCTCCAGGTTTGCACACGCTCGAGGTGGCTGCTGAAGACGGTGATGGCCGGAGGGTCGTGCACCAACAGCCCTTCTCAATGGACGGCTCGAAGCCGAGCTTCCGCCTCCTGCCGAGCATTTTGCTCACATCAAATATTTCTGCTGTGTTCCAGTTCCTGTTTGGCTGTGCAGTGTGTTTGTGTATACTCCTGCTGTGCGTCTTCAGATACTTGCATTACTTAATGAGCAGCAGTGGCAAGAGGAACATCTGCCGTAGGGGAATTTTCCGCTGGACAATCATGAGAGCTTTGGTGCGCAAATTTTGGGTTTTATGCTCAGTAGACGAGCTATTTTGGCCTCTGATTATCTACATGCTTTACTTGCCTGTCGGCCCCTGGATGGTTGGAGAGCTTCTGGATAATGAGTACGGTGTCGTATTCTCTTGGGGCACGTTTGTTTATCACAGTTTCCTTCCCGGTTCATTAACTTTTGCTTATGGTTTTGTTCTATTTATTCTTTATTTACTACCTCTTATCTTCGGCCTTGCAAATTGCGTGGATCATAGAATGCACTCTATTTTTGTACAGCCGAAAATAGGCCTATTTGCACAGCTAGCTAAGAACGTGCCTCTGGTCATTCCTCTGAGCATTCAGTCATTCCTGACGTACCTCATGTACCTCGCGTACGGCTGGGTCTGTGTTGTGCTAGGGCCCATACGCAGCTGGTCCGTGATTCTAGGATTAGCTTTGTGGTTGAGAGCTGAGAGGCTGGAACCTCGACATTTACGGCCTGCTGCATTGCTCTGGTGTAGTTTGCTGCATTCATCCTCTCTGCACGACTGCAACAGCCACACTGATGAAAACAATGCTACCAGGCGATCTTGGTTAAGACGAAAGAGTTCAACTGACTTGACACTTCGTCAGGACAACGATCGCAGCGATAGTTTTACTGATGGTAGCTTGGACACGACAGTGAAGCTTAGCAGTGAAAGGCCATTTAATAACCACGATTTAAGTGACTCATTATCTGAAGTGAGAAAGAAGAGACCCAGTCGGAGGTCCCTCAGTGATGGTTCATATGAGCAACAATCTTCTAGTCTATGAGACGCGATGGCTCCCGGAGTCACGCCCTCTTCTAGCCTTTAATGATGCAGAGCAGGAGCAGGTCTGCTGTGTTAGTTCTGCTAGCGGAGCGGTACTGTAACCGTGATATTTCACACTCCAGTGGACATGGAAGTGCAGCTATTGTAAAGCTGGACTGATCAAGTGATATCTTTACTTGTGATGAATCCAATATTCCAGAGTGCAATTCTATGAATAGTATGATCTTTTTTTATTATTGTTGAGTAATTCATTTATCTTTCTATATTATTATCCATATTCACATTAAGATTTTGTTATGTTCTCAAACGTTACTTTTAAGAAATGCCCAATTTATTTTTCGATTGATTCTCACTATATCCACCTGGAGAAATACATTTTCAAGAATTCAAATTTAGGTACCTTCTTAAAATCAACCTGTTCGTGTACCCATACTTTATGTAGCATGTCTTCATGTATCATGAATTTTTGAAATGGTTAGTATTTCATGTCGAAAATCCCCATTTTTCCCCACTGTGTTTTTCCCATTTTAATGTAGTGTTTAAGCTCGTCTAATGCCCTATGGAATATATACTACTGCTTGGCCGGGGATGTAGGCGGAGCAGCTGTTGGGTTNGTTAAGTTGCTGTGTAGGCAGCGCAGCTGTAGGGTTAAGTTGCTGTGTAGGCAGGGCAGCTGTAGGGTTAAGTTGCTGTGTAGGCAGGGCAGCTGTAGGGTTAAGTTGTTGTGTAGGCAGGGCAGCTGTAGAGTTAAGTTGTGTAGGCAGGGCAGCTGTAGGGTTAAGTTGTTGTAGGCAGAGCAGCTGTAGGGTTAAGTTGCTGTGTAGGCAGGGCAGCTGTGGGATTATTTGAGTTGTCACCTAGGTAGAGTTCCTGGAACTTCCCTACTCTTTGCCCTTCGTTTTTGTTGCTGTTTGCTTGTCCCTTTATCGTCTCTGAGATTCTAGGCCTTCTCATAGCGCTTGCCTGGAAGGCCTCCCGCCTGCCGAAGGTACTGTTCATTCTGTAACTTCCTGCCAAAGAGCTTCATGGAAGTTGCTCCTTCTATCAATCATTCTAATACTTAGTTTTCTGTGTGCAAAAAAAGCTTTTTTAAGTAACAGTTTTCTTCTGGCATGTCATCAACAGGCCAAAAAATATTCAGTCTGACACTTTTGTGCGGGTTAGTTTTCTTATTATTTATTTCTTGAGTTATTGCATATGAATGTTGACTTAAGTAAACCCAATGCTTTTTAAAATATATAATAGAAGGTTCATCCATGTATCTTTCAGGGCTATTCGAGTTGTAATAGAAAACTCGGCATGAGCGCTGGCGTATGTGTATACGGTGTATTAAGTAGAATTAAAGTAGCTATGTTATTACAAACATGCTCATCGGCCTCCATGCCGCCTCAGAAGAGCCTTCTGGCATGTGTCTATGCTCGACGGAATGGCTATGGGATTTCGCGTTCCTAGGAGCATTGTTCCTGAGCGCCCCTCCCCGGAGCTCGCGGTGTCTGACTGCGGGTCTCAGTTGTAGCGTTGTTATGTACGCATGATTCTTTACATCTTCTCTTCACTCTCTCTCTCGTGTGGGTGGCCAACGTCGAAGGACAACGAGCGCGGTAAGATCAAGCTTCTCGAATTTCTTCGTTAAGAATGTGTTCTGTATAAATTATTGATCCACTCCAGTAACTTAGGCTCTGCCAGATCTCGTCCTGCAATACTCGAATGGAGACTGAATGTCTCAAAACTGTCAGGAGTCTAAATTAAATCAGGTGGTGCAGCAACGTTCCAGCTAAGACTACTTCCCATCCTTGGACAAGATATGAGCTCTTTAACTGCGTTGTGACTGTGCAGCCTACTGCACCTTCAAGAACTAATCTTGGAAACAGTCGCTGGCTCTGACTTCTCAACTATCTTATACCTTAATAGTCGTACCAAGTGTGATCTATACTTATTACTCGATGCACGGAAAATAGCTTGTTTTTAACATATTATTAATACATGCTTGATTTTTTATTTCAAAGAATTATTCATTATTTTTATTCAAGAATTTCTTGCTCGATTTTAACATATTATTTCTTGCTCTTGCTCGAAGTGTTATTATTTCCGCATATTCCTGAACGCGGTCTGCAGCAAGGTTGGCAGCGCTTTTTTAATTTATAGTCAATAATTATTCCTATGTTTGTTTGTGCAGCAAATAATTTCATTGCACTGAAATGCATTGATTCCAAACGTTAACCATTCGCGTTGCAGTTCCCATTTGGCAGATGCACTGGAAAGAATTTCTTTGATCCATAGTTATGCCGGTGCCTTGATGCCGTCCTCTAAACCAATCCAAGCTTAGCCCAGTGACTCAGCTGAAAAGGCTAAGCGGTCCCTCCGCAGGGAGATCGCCTCCCGCGTTGCGGCGACTGACGCCACAAACGTCGTCCTCGCAGCCCCACCACCGTCAATTGCATCAGTGGAGGCCTCACTCCCTCGCCTCCTACCGTTCGGCGCTATCCCAGCTCCGCTCGGGATACTGCAGCTCCCTGGCGTCCTACTCTGCTAGGATCGGACGCTCCCCTAGCTCCGCCTGCCCGGAGTGCGGGGATCCCCTCCAGTCCGTCCAGCATCTCTTCGCCTGCCCCGCCTTCCCCACGTCCCTCAGCGTCTCCTCAATGTGAGTCAGCCCCGTGGAGGCCGCGGCATTCCTGGCTACCCTCCCTGCCTTCGCCCATCTCCCTCCCCTTCTATTGCCTTTCCCCCGACGCCTACCTGAGCCTCCTCCCGGCGAGCGTGAATCTGATCACAACTAACAACTCAGCTCGCCTAGCACAATTTGTGGCAGAGCTTTGAGGATCGTTTTATTTTCATTGCGAATTACTCCTCTCGGCTCAGGAACATGAATATTGTACTTAAATTGAAGTCACAACTGTGTGGAGTCAGCACACCAATTGTCCCTAATTGACTTCGTGCAAATCTTTGGAGAACAATAAAATCTTGCGATGTAGGTGTGTTGCTATTGGTTCGGCATGTGGCAGCAGAACCGGCGCTGACTAGCCGCGACTCGGACCGTTTTTAGCTTCGTTACGTTAGTCGACATCCGCGTGGTATAACTCATCTATAACATCACGCGTGCTTTATTCGTCCTCCATTGTGCGTTTCTTGCATACATTTTTTCGTTGACTTCCAGGATTAATACCATAAGCTTTACTTGAAGTTTTGCTGACTGCCTCTTGGCTTTTTCCCTATATTTCATTTGCAATAACACGCAGAATATTCACAACTCGGGTAACTCAACGTGACGTCCCACATTTATCCGTTGCGGGGCTACATAGCGTGTTGGCGTCTTGAGGCTGCAGTCCAATTTTAAGTCATAAAAAAGATAACAAATACTCTATTTAAATTTATATTTAGATGGAAATGCGAGTTTGTACTGTTGCTGTGAATGATCTTTATGTAGACGTGAGTTTCTGTAACACGCTGCTGTCGATCTTTGTAAGATCTTCCTTAACTGCGCGGATACCTTTTTTTTCTTCTATGTAGAGGCTATTTCCCAACAGGGCAAATCTGCGTCAATTTATTATCATTGGTGTTGGGAGTCAGCTTTCGTGAATATTACACCCGATTCGCCCAGGGACAGTTCACGCTCATGCTTTTAGGTTACCGTCCACCTTGCAAATGAGCTTGCTTCAAGGTTTGACTTCTGCATACATTCGTGATACTAAATACTTTAGAATTTAATAATTTTTATAATTCTACGAGCTAGTGTTCGCCTAACCGGAGAGTACGAGCTTAGGTTCTCCTGACCGGAGAGTACGAGCTTTGGTTCGCTTGACCGAACACTACTAGCTTGGGTTTGCCTGACCGGAGAGTACGAGCTTGGGTTCGCCTGACCGGACACTACTAGCTAGTGTTCGCCTAACCGGAGAGTACGAGCTTGGGTTCGCCTGACCGGAGACTACGAGCTTGGGTTTGCCTGACCGGAAAGTACGAGCTTGGGTTCGCCTGACCGGAGACTACTAGCTTGGTTCGCCTGACCGGAGACTGCGAGCTTGGGTTTGCCTGACCGGAGAGTACGAGCTTGGGTTTGCCTGACCGGAGACTACGAGCTTGGGTTTGCCTGACTGGAGAGTACGAGCGTGGCTTTGCCTGACCGGAGAGTACGAGCTTGGGTTTGCCTGACCGGAGACTACGAGCTTGGGTTCGCCTGACCGGAGACTACGAGCTTGGGTTTGCCTGACCGGAGACTACGAGCTTGGGTTTGCCTGACCGGAGACTACGAGTACGTGCTTCACGAGGCGTTTGTCAATCGCGTGGAAGCACGGGTTTTAAGGTATCGCATCTGAATGTAAATATTGGCATGGCTTTTCACTATTCCAAATTCGCCCGACTTTGTGATCTCACGTTGTACTGACACCTGATGTTGATCTCTAATAATTTTTTCGTTTTCTTTCTCTTCTGCCGCTTTTTGAGCATTACTTATGCTCTTCAGTAAACTTAGGTGCTTAGCTTCAACCATATTGTGACTACCTTGCCAAACTGCAACCAATTTTTCTTTCACTGCATCGTAATCTTAATGACATTTCGCTACTACTGGCACTAGCTACTTCGAAGCCCTTATGGTTGACGTAGTCGGTTTTTTGCTTCGGCACTATAAGGCGTTTGTTTTTCTTTGAACACTTTTAATTTTCGCGGCCAATAAACCGAATTGATCATGACGGAATGCCACTCTAATCTGTGCTCTATCAGCGCAGTGTTGCACCGTCTTTTGTGCTGTGAAGCAAGCACTTCATGTAATTCCGAGTGGCTAAAAGTTCATATTGTTCCTCTTACTGACACAACGACTGCGTTTCCGCCTTATTTTTGCCAGGAAGCCAAGCAATTATTCTTTGCATCTACCAGTGGTTACTAATTTATTTCCAATGTCCTCGAAGTCTTATAAATAAACGGACATTTTTTGAAGTTCAAGAAGACATGAGGCATACATTTTGTCCAGTCGTTTATGTGCGTTGTGTCTTGCCGTGTTTGTACTCACCGTTTCCTGTTGGCATTTATAGCTGTTAACCAGATATTCCTGTTTTGTTTACTCATCGCTCGCGAGTTGCATTTTTTTGTGAAAATGTTCGTTTAAGAGCGATTTTTCTTCCATCGGTTCGTGATGTATTTTCATTATCCTATTCGTGATAGGTTACCAAGGCTTAACTATTATTTTCAGTTTAGTTTCATTAAGATCCTATTGCGCCCGGCTAGATATTCGCGTTGCTGTTGAATGTTAACATTTATTTTTGCCGAAATAATAATTTGAATCGGTAATTGCGAACGGGACATAAATGTTTTCTGAAAAGTTATGACATGTAATTCCTCTTTTAAATAACATATTGAGCAATTGATCGAAGAATGTTTTCTGGAAAGTCGTGCGCCCTAATCTTGAGTTTGGAAACGTTGTGTGGCCACCGAGATTTGAAAAGGACAAAAATATAATAGAAAATGTTCAAAGACGTGCAACAAGGATAATTCAAGGCTTGAAGGGCAAGTCCTATGAAGAAAGAGTGAAGATTATAAAGCTTCCAAGCCTCAGTTATCGACGTCTGCGTGGGGACCTCATTGAGGTAGACAAGTATACGCATGGTCAGAGCTGGGCAGCGCTACTTTGAAATGTAGCGCCGCTACCGCTACATGCTCTAAATGTAGCGGGCGCTACCGCTACCGCTACATGCTCTAAATGTAGCGGGCGCTACCGCTACCGCTACATGCTCTAAATGTAGCGGGCGCTACCGCTACACCCACTAGATTGTAGCGGGCGCTACCGCTACAGTAAAATGTAGCGCCGCTACAATGGCCCAAATTATTGGAAATATCTAAATATTTATTGTTCTGCTATTGGGGTTTACTCCTAAACATTTTATGATAATAAAACATTTTCGAAACATATCAATGCAACTTTATTGCAATTAACTTAACCGAACTAGTACTGGTTAGATGCAGTAAATAAAAGTTAGTTATTTACTTTTTATTTTTTACCTTCCCTACAGGGATGTCTACTTTAATCTACCAATCTCAAAAAATATCCACATATACATATAAAAAATCAGTCTTTTATTTGTATATATATATAATGTTGTTATATATAATGTATAATGTAACAAATGAATGTTGTTCCATTCGAAACGTCGTTAATAAAGTGATATTACTCCCTTGAACCTGCATTTTGATCAACTAATGTCATCTGAAGAATATTGTTTGACCCTGAAAATTTAAATTGAAGAATTCTCTGGCCAGTAACCACACGTGTTGAAACAAGCTTATTCTGCCTTCTGATACTAAATATTTGGTTTATACAAGGTCCCCGAAAGATTACTAGAATTTGATACAAGAACCAACACCAGGGGCCACGGCTATAAACTAAAAAAACTGCGCTGCAACTTCTCCACGCGCCAACATTTCCTCTCGCTTCGAATCACCGAAATGTGGAACAGCCTTCCCGATGACATCGTTGGCGCTCCAAACATGAACGCGTTCAAGAACAGACTAGGTAAAGCTATGGAAAAATACATGTTCATATTTTAAATGCCTAGCACCATATCGAACCCGATGGAAGTCGAGTAGCTATTTCAAACTATCGTCAGTCATGAAAAGATCCGGTCAAATGACACGATTTTAGATGTTCTGTGAACAAGGCACGAAAAGGAAAAAAATCGGCGACAGGCCACATCAGGCCTACACTTCAGCGCCGAGATCACTATGTTATGTTATATGTATTTCTCGTATGTGTCTGTTGGTGATGCCTAAGCTGAGTTTACTGTATAAAAAGGTATGAAAAAGAAACAACTACCTACTAGACTTAAACGAAATTCTTGCTGGAATTGTGGATATTATCATATTACTAGCGCAAACTTCCGAATAATCTCTAGCGATATCATGATACGTGTAATTTACTCTGGCAACTCTAGACCGATGCCCCAATAACATGCACACAGTCGTGAGCCCGTAATATCAATAAGAGATCGAGACATGAGTCGTGTGCTGCGATAAATATCACATTGTCAAACGTAAGCCATTAATGTAAACAAGATCACAAGGGAAATATTATTACAGAAGTTGCGAACTACGTGTCGGACAATGTAATTTTACGGCCAGACTCCAAATTAAATGATCAAGTAATATCTCTCAAACTATTGAACGCTCAATGCAGCTCGATGAAACTTGGTACACGTAATCATTAGGACCTAACGTTGATGTTTAACAAAACAAAAAAATTAAACGTGAACAAAAAAAAATATAATTTTACCTTCGTTTTTTGACACGTTCGCGCACCGTGGCACGAATACAGACTTAGTCAACAACGTAATGGTGCGTGCAGGGAATAACTGATGTTTCTTTGAGCTATTGAAGATATTTCGGAATCGTCCACTGATAAATTTCGAAACAACTTTCAATATTTTTTAAATGCCTCAAATTTTTAATCATCAATCATCTCACCATCATCAGTGACATATATTTTTTACATTTATGTTGATATTGATAATATATACGATTTATTAGTGAATATAATTTAATAATGCTTTCTTATAAAGATCCCATAAGCTTATCAGCGTTTTTCTTCTGCTCACAGCCTCACACGTAACAAAATGTTTTCTAGTCCAAGTAAGGACTTGTATATCATTCAATCATTGGCAGCTCTCATTCTGAAATGATAAGGTACTATTTTGATTCACAACTCGTCGTCTCATTAGTATTTGGTAATTCTTACAACAGCCAAGTATCTACAGCACAACTTCCGCAATACTGAACTTCTTGCGAAAGAAAAATTCGATTACGTCATTCTGACGTATGATGCCAGTATCAGCTGCTGTTTGCAGGTGATCGTACTGTAAATGACGTTCGCATTTCAACGACTACGGTGGTTTCTTCTTTAGGGAGCTGAGGTCTTCGTATCTGCTTTTTGCTGTTGTACAAGTATTTGAATGACTGAATTTTGAGAGAATCTTGCAATTAGCTCCAAACGTATTTCTGTATGGTATCAATCAAAGTTCTTAAAATTCATTCGGACGTCAGTGTAGTAGGCAGCGCTAATTGATCATGAACGATGCGCAGCTCGGTAATCGGTATCGTTAGGAACTCGCTGTCCGCACTTGACACTTCAACTGTCAACGAATCTTCTTCTATATTGTTGCAATATATTAATATTGTTTACTGCTGCAATATATTATACTGCAATATATTAATATTGTTGAATAAGTTATTACATTCTATCACTAATCACACTTAACTTATCTGAATACCTAGCTCTTTACCCGATTACCTGTCAGTCTGTCACTGACTCACTGTGCTGTGTAATGTGAATGTCTGTGAAGTAGGTAGGACTTGAAAAGAGACTGTTACTCTCACATTTTTCCTAATTCAGCTAGTACCCTGGTCAAATTCTCAAATATAGCCTTTTAGTTGGGCTGAAGGTAATTTCAGCAGTTATTGGTTCTAGTAATTATAGGCCTGTTGACAGTTGAATTGTATGTAATTGCTATTGAATTGGTACTGTTGAATGATGGTTCTAAGCCTTGAGAGAAGTTGAGACCAAAAGTAACTAACAACTGATGTTTAAGAAGATCTAGCTATCAATCTTTGGTGATCACCTCATTCATTAACTAGCCTACATTGTTACCAGACAAGCATTGGAAAATATCTACTTAAGCCATAGTGAGAAACCAGAGATTTTTTAGAATCTGTTCATTTTTTATTTACTTCTTTTACCAATATTTAAATCAATTTCTTATGTAGGCAGTAGGTGAGTTGAGTAGGCCTATGAGCTATGATGACCCTGTTTAGTGCAGGGATCCCCTTGTATGTATTTAGTTTAGCGCTGCAACTAGAGCCTTCCTGCCATTTCCGAAACTGCAAGATTTCTGCCAGATGGAATACCTCCTAGGCTTGGCTTCTATATAATTAACAAAAGTGCTCCATTAGGCAACAAGATTCCAAATGTAGGCCTATTAAAAATTTGTGATATTAGTGCCAAGTGCCAGGAGATTACAGAAACAAATAGGAAAATTCCAATCCTGTAAATGCCAAATAGAAATCTAGGAATGATAATTTGCATTATGAAATCTTCCTAGCTGGATCTTTTTTTTTTTTAAACATTTGCTACTTAGAAAAGCATAACTCCCTTTCTTGAATCTTGATACATGATAGAAACCTTCTAAGCAAAGTGACATGCTGGCAGCCAATAGATTTTGTATTTCAATTTCCTTGTATAATTTTTCATGCATGATAGACCTGCTCCAGCTTGCTGGTAGGCTATGCCTTTTAGAGTACATAATTCTATAGACAATAGTTCATCTATATCCACATGAGTATGCCTTGGTATAAATACAGCTTTATTATATTCTTCAAAGTCAATCTGATTAACCTTTAGGTATAGTTTCCTGTTTTTGTCGAATGTCAACCAACCTAAAATGGATCAACCAATTCTTGCTTCTGGCCCAAGAATATATCTTTGATTTTCATAATCATATTTGGGTTTTTCTTACAATTACTACTGTATATATTTTTATCAGTATTTAATTGGTTAGATAGGAGTATGTATAGCCTTGGCAGTATCAGATTCTTTTGGCTCCAAAAATGGCTGGAAAGCTCAGGTCATGGCTCAAATAGTTCATCCCAATCACATGCCTGATGCCTGCTTATGGGCACACTACTTGTTATCTAACAGCAAACTTGTCTAATCATATGCATTGGTCTTTCCAGCTCATATATAATCATTTTACTAAACTTGCCAATGTCCAAATGAATTTCTTCTTTGATAAAATTATCTCTGGCCTTAGCACAATAGGTGTAGCATGACCCACTGGTGGATTGCAGGGTCGTTTTACTAACGAATTCCATAATCAAGTTTTTCCAGTTGTGTTGGGCTACAAAAATTTATGATGGCAGTACTACTTCATTCAATTTTAAAATCTATGGAAGGAAGGAAAATTTAATTTTTGCACTGGAACCTACAAATTTACTATTTTTGAATAGGCTTTTATATCTGGAAACCTTGCTGTTTTTAGGCCATCTGCCAGCATTGGTGGGTTGTGCTGCAGAATCTTGTGCGGCTTGCATTGAATTCCAGGCTTTGCTGTTTTCTGAATTAAACTATATAGTTTGTTATATTGTAAACCAACCTCAAAAAATATATATACATATATATAAATGCCAGCTTCCAGCCAAGGAAGAAAACTTTATTTTCTATGATCACATTCTTATCATTACTGTTTATTTTCTCCACTTGTACCTATTCCTGTTGATATGTGATGGAATAAGGAAAGAATTTTACATATTCATACCAAGTTGGGAACCAGAGCATTCCTCAATCTTAGTCTCTTGGTAGGTAATGCATACGTTTTGTAAAGGAAATTCTCGTATGTTTTACTATAAGCTAAGTATACAGCAAATCTTTATCCATGGTTGTAGGTTTAAAAAGCTGCTACCTTGGCTATTTTTTGCAAATGTGAAGTTAGCCTTTTTATAATATTCCTTGTGAAAATTCATTTTGCCTTTCTCTAACCTTCTTATTTTGTGTCCTGTATTTGTTTTATTCACAGGAACTTCTCAAAGACAATTATTTGATTACTCTATCCCTCAAGACTTGTTTATTTACCAAGGTAAGTATTTTTTCATAAATTCTAATAACCTGTACTATTAAATAAATAGGATTGTAGATTTTTTTTTATTTATTTATTTATTAGATTTAATTTTATTTAGTCAACAATTGCTTTACATTGATCAGTTTCAAAGTTAGATTGAAGATGCTCGTCTGTAATTTTACCAACCATATTGTTACACTTCTTGCATTCCAATAGGCAAGTTGTACTTTATTTTTTGATGTTCCATGAATAACCACAAAGACATTTTTCCAGGTAGTTGGTGGCCAGATGACCTTGGGCAGTATGGATCCTAGGGAGGGCAGAGCTGCTCAGCTTGTTCAGGTAATTTAATCCTTGTGTTAATCATAGTTCTCAGTCCCTTGACGTAATGGGTGTTTGTAGAGCAGTACTATTTGTAAATCGGGCTGCTACTGCACTGTAGCTGCTGTTTAGCACTAGTGTACCGTGTAGCTACATCTGTTCGGAAGCCACTGAGACAACTATGGAGCCATCTGATGAAGCTAACGTGCATTTACTTGATTTTGAAGGCCTCCAACTATTCAGAATCCTGCTGACTAATGAGCATACATTTCTCTGCTCAGAGCTTCATATCGGTTGATATTCATTGTCAAATCATCCTTGAAGTCTATGGTTAAAGCATAAAAAGTTATGGGATAGTGTGGAAATATATCAGGGCCTTTGAAGATGGTTGCCCTAATTTTCATGAGGAAATAAGTGGTAAACCATGTCATTACCAATGATTGGGATTCCAATAGTAAGCTGTAAAACGACACGATTTCGTCCACAGCTGAAAAGCTTTATGCTGTGCCCAGAAGTATTATCAAACTGTGCCCAAAGCATTTATAGGAGCAGTGCGTTTCCAATGGTCAAGTAAAGCAAGTTTCTCTGATAATTGCATACAAAATTTGGTACCAAAATGCAATAAATACCTAGATATTGATGGGAATTGTATAAAAAATGGTAAAAATAGTCAAATGTTGATAGTTTGAATTTTTTGTCAGTTGGAGCCACTAATACATCAAGTGAGTGGCCACTCGTCACTGTGGGTGCTTGATGACGTCACCGTGTGCAAGCCTTTGATTGGTCGGGAGGCCAAGTTTTACCGCACTCTCCCACCACAGATGAGGCCCTTCACACCCGAGTTCCGAGGCACTCTCAAGGTCACCATTGGGTTTTAATTTTTATTCTAACTAATTGTATAATTTCTTTAGTCGTTTTTAATTAAAGTATTGGATTCAAAATAAAATAACACATCAATGTCCATGTCATTTTTGTAATGCATTTTTAATTGAAATGTCAGGCCTGGTGTCACGTGTCATAAATTTCAGTGATTATTCATTTCATAAGTCTTTTTTCTTGGCATTGGGAAAAAGTGTAGAAGATGCTGACAATTGAAAATATTTATAGTGAAGTTTTGCTTTAATTATCTCGTTTCTAGCATCAATGAACAGGTAGATAATGTGCTTTTGAGCTGTTGAGCTCCTTAAATTGGAAGGATTTTTACAGAAAAGGTTGGATTAACTATTTACACTTCAAATTCCTCCGAAAGTAGTTATTTGGTGCTGAAATATTTACTAGTGCTTTTTGTCATTCCAGCCACTTGAAATTCTTCTTAGATTCTCTTGTTGCATACTACATAAAATTCATTAATTCATTAGTATCATCGGGAATTGGTTAATATTCGCCGGGAAGAATAGGCAAGAGTAATTATAGTTGACGTTTTCATGTGTGCAAGAAAAACTAAAGAATCTGAAGAGATTTTATTTCTGGTGAAAATTGGACTTGCTCAGCTGATCCTGCGTCTTGCGCCCAATTAGCATCTCCCTGCTGATGACCGATTAAATCTTGCCGCTGCACAAATGATAGTGGCTGCTGATAGTGATTTCCATTAGCTCCCGTGGTGCAGAATACCTAGCAATAAATGCTCTTTGTTCTTGAAAGAAGCAAAGAGTTCAGTATTTCTGAACCAAATTCAGAAGCACATGCTATGTATTCTGTGTAAATATTGGTTAAATTATGTCATGGCGGCATTTTGGATCTCGCTCGTTTCTTTAGATTCCCTGCCTATTTACTTCTGTACACGAATCCTTAGATAACTAAAATTTATTTGAAGATAAAAGGTTTTCTATAATGGTAATTTATAATCGCTAGTATAAATTGAAATAGTCATATGCAGGTTTTAGTGGAACGAACTGCTGAAGGAGTAGCTGTTGCTGCCTTGCCACCCAATGCTGCTGAGCGCGGCTACCTCTCGTCACGTCGCACTGCTGATCTTAACAGGTGCCACTACTTGCTACCTCAGTACCTCCAGACTGACCTAGTCACACATCTCGGAAATTACCTTGAATTTTAAGCACCAGTAATTGGCACCATCAGGTGTCTCAATTGTTGCAGTTCAGTCTAAGTCAGCACACTGTGGATCCTTCGTCTCAATAAATTGCTGAATTGCTTAGCTCTTATCTTGAAATTATATTTTTGATGCACTTTCAGATATCCGCTGTAAGTTAGGAACGCTCGTCACGTCAATGTAATTCCATTATTGACGAAAAAAATTCTTTAGCCTTTGAAGCAGTTTCGGCACAGACTCCTGAAAATTTCTATCCTTGACGCCACCAGAAATAAGGTGGGGCGTGTGCGTTCATGCAACGTGGAGCTGGCAAGCGAAGGGGAGGAGGTGGGTGGAGAAATGGCAGAAGAGGAGGAAGACGAGGACAACAATTCGCTCCAACCCATGATAGGTCCCCCTCTCCCCCGTGTCATGCCCGCACACAACCCCTGGCTCAAAGAGTGTCATCAGAGATACCTCGACAAGCTCAAGAAGAAGGCCGAGAACAAAGTTAATGTTATGGGTGCGTCGAAACTACCACGTAGAATTTCCTTGAGTGGTCTTAGTTTGAATTGTGCAATAATTGTTCGAACGCAAATTGAAACCTATCCGGATATGCTTGAATGCTTGTCAGTCAGTTACCTTCACTATAAGTGCAATTGCATCTTAATCGCAAGGAGTGTTTACAGAATGCATCCTGCTGGAGAATCTGACGCACGTGTACCGCGTGCCTAACGTGCTCGACCTGAAGATGGGCACGCGGCAGTACGGCGACGACGCCCCGGAGAGCAAGCGACGCAGCCAGACGCGTAAAGCTCAGCACACCACCACCCCCCGCCTGGGGGTCAGGCTCGCGGGCATGCAGGTACAATAGTTTGTGCCCGAAAAGTCATCTCCAGATACCCAGATACCCTTAATATTAGTTTCAGCATTGGCGATAATTGATTCTAGTTTACAATGTAATCATGCCAATCGTAATCTGTCACATCAGCATGTTAACTTGATTTTCATAAGTTGTTGGCTTTCGTTAAATATTGTTGAGGCCAGTTTCCCTGCATATCACCTTGCATTTATTTCACGGAACACTGAAACGCTTCAGGTGTACGACCGTGACGCTAAATGCTACGTGTGCAAGAATAAATACGTGGGGCGGGAGCTCACGGAGGACGGCTTCCAGCAGACGCTGCGCCACTTCCTGCACAACGGCCGGCGCTTCAGAGGCGACATTGTCGATCAAATCATTGCAAAGCTCACTGAACTTAGAAGAATTGTCGCATCTTTAGATTCATTCAGGTAGCTTGTGTCGTTCACCCTCTTTTGATGCCTTCATAAAGGAAAGTTTCTAATTCTTGTGGTTATTTTGATCTTTATATAATTTCACTCGTATGCCGGAGTGGTAATGTTAGTACCCTTCTCATTTCAGGTTTTTCACGTCGTCTCTGCTAATTTTATACGACAGTTACGACACAAAAGGTACGCCAAAAAGTAAGGAGCAATCAACGAATACCGCAGCAAAGGACAAGGAGAATACGCCCATTTGCAATAAAGACAAACGCGATAACAGGAAGAACAGCAGAGAAAATTCATCACACAGCCGTAGCCTAAAGAGGACAAACTCCAGCACTTCTTCAGACTGTTCCAAAAACGTCGCTACGTCTGGTAACTCGTCGTTAGGGCGGTTACCAACAAAAAGCGAGAGTTTAGCTGGTAACAAAAGTGCGGAAAATTTACAAACTAATGCGTCTATTTCTGCGAACTTGAGAGAAGTGACTGCTGATAATGTAACTACTGCGGATAAGGTGAGTGGTGACTCGAGAAACTATAAATCGGTTGTTAAAAGTGCCTCTGATATAAATCAGCTCCTACCTCTGGACCCTGCCCCAGTGAATGAGAGAAATGTTTTCTTGGAGGACGAAGATCTAGCCATCAGAAGAGAATCTTTGCCGCTACCTCATGACACCAGAATGACTACTGAACCTCATGAGAAGCTCATGGAAAGTTTATCGGGTTCGGTCTCCCTGCGACAAGGCTTGATAAATCCTGATACTAGCACTGCCCAATCTCAACAAATTACTAGTTTAAGTGATGGAAATGACGCAAGGGTTGTAGAAGGAAACCTGTACGATTCTCACCAGCAAAAGCTTGCATTTAAGGAGGAGGCTGATACCAAAACTTTTGCTTGTCATCTGCCTAATTGCCAGGAGCGACCGCTTGCTAGAACAAACCCTTCAGAGCACGCCTCTGTTGAGACTACATCGTTATTTACTCAACAATATGAACCTTCATTTACATCTACTATAAGCGATTCAATCCATAATCAACCCATAAGTCAATTTTGTGCCGCTCCCACTTCTCACATTTCGGAGTTGGCGAATACTTGTAAGATATCCGACGACCATACAATGTGTGATCTTACTGCCCAAGAAAGACACAGTGCGGCGACAGGTGCAAGTTGCTTGTGTTATTCCAAGGTTAGTTCTAATCTCGTTCCTCACAGCACGTGTGATGATCGTAACAGCAACACGAACACCACCATAAATTCTGATGTAGACTCAAGCTCCTGTTCCAATTCTGAAAACGTTCCTATGGAAACCATTTACGAAGATGCAACTCAACAGCCTAAACAAGCTACAGGCAGCCAGTGTTCAGATTCTAGTCTGAAAAATGCCCTTTCACACCATCCTGCATGTATGGAAGTTAACAGTTCGCCGCCTAACCACAGCAATCTCAGCAGGAGTAACAACAACGTCTGCTCACAACTTTCGCATAGTCTAGGAAACGCTGAGCAAGGCCCGACAAGTTCTGTGACAACCTCGCTTGTTGCTCATCTTTCAGCCTCAGACGTAAACTTTTCAATGTACAACAACAACATAGCCACCGCATCTGCCAGCATGGACGCCAGCGTGTCGACTTGTACCAACAAGCCTGCTCCAGAGCTTTGTATTAACGATATAAAGAGCCACACAAATTCTTCAGACCTCATAGAAGTAATTAGTGAGGGTAGTGTCCCTCCTCAGGTTGTAATTAGTTCCAGCTCATCAGCGCCAGCCATCGAGACCACCTCGAGCCCTGCTCTTTGTTCAGAAAGCCCAACGACCACTTCCTCCAGTTCTTCGTCAGCATCTGTCTGCTGTCCGTTAACAGCGGTTAGATCATCGACTACCGTCAGCTGTCTGTCAGCGACTGTCAGCAGTAGTACAAATCTATCGAGCTCGCCCAGCGATTCAGTTAGCAAGACAAAAGTAGATATCAGACTAATAGACTTCGCTCACGCTACCCATAAGGGCATGGGAGACTCCACGATTTACTCGGGACCAGATGAAGGCCTCATGCTCGGTCTCAAAAGCCTCGTTAATATATTCACAGAGATTAAGGAATGTTATTCTAAATGACTAGCGTTTTAACTTGACTTTTACCTCCGTTTCAGATTTGTTGCGGTAGCAGTACGATGGTGCACAGCTCGAATTGCCGGGACGGCTTCTAAGTGGCCACTATGACGCTTAATGTATCTATTCATAACGTCAACCTTCAGAAGACGAGAATGATAGCCCGACTTGTGTTTCCAGTAACGCTGTGCAGCCACTCCTCGGGTATTCAATTAAGTTACTCTAAATGTCGGGTGGTCACTTGGAAGTCGCCTCGGATATCGTAATGACGTAATAAGATGACGTTTGCGTCTGCTAGACCCAGAGCAAAACTAAATTGTATTCATATGCGGACGCATGAATTAATGATTTTATGACGATTATCATAGAATTTCATTTAATAATCTAGATTTGAATAATTTGCCTGTCCATTGATCAGTTCATTTGGAACTTTGAGTGACATGCTCAAAACTTGTAAAGTTTCTGCTTATTAGTTATAAATTAACGCATTTTTCAAAAGTTGTAATGTCTTGTCTTTGAGAAAATTGATATCATTGAAAGCATGTGCGAAATGTTAAAACTCGTAATGTTGTCTGCGATCAATAATTTGGAACGGTCTGTTGCAACCACTTTTTCTGGCGAATTATCCGTTGGCGCTTAAATGACCCAAACCTGTTGATCAATTCATTTAGAATATTATTGTTATCCTTTTCATCTTGTCTGCAAGCATTTGCGTCTATGCGACTTTGTCACTCTACCTAATTGTCTTGTGGCTGGCTAGCTCTCAAAAGAGCTCTCTGGTAACCGTTGTGAATATTTTAATACTTGATTGTGTTGGAAGCACCTTTTGGATTTAAATTGTCTGAAATATTTTGGTCTAAACATCTGTATTAGACTTCCACCCCATGGTACTTGACCATACTACCTTTAGTGTGGTGATATTTTAGCAAGTTGACCATTACGTCATCTCGAGTGCTGAAGGGTTCTAAACCTTGGGTTTAAATGCTAATTTTATTCGAAATTTAATGTTTGACGAGGTGTGATGCTCACAAATGATGTTCTGATCTCTTTTTAAAGCTTTAAGATGTTTGACTCTGAAATATAGCTACTTGAATCCGCCCTGTCCTTTGAATTGATCCTTCAAAAATATATGAATACAAGTTCTCGGTTGTTGCGGTTAGTGCGTGCCTAGCTAATCGAGAGAACGGCTATAGGAAGGCCAACTTTAGGCACGAATTTTCAGAAAGAAACTGGTGATCAAGAAAGGTTGAAGCCCAGCAGACCTTGGCATGTCGGACAATTGATACATCAATTGATTGTGGTATCATCGTGTGTATTGGACTCTTCAGTTCATTCTTGCTTGGAATGGACACGCTTGGCTTGGTCTTTCTCGCCTACTGGCACCTAGATAGTTCATCTATGAGACGAGGCATGCGCAAAACCTAAAGTTCGTATTATGTTCAAGCTAAGCCATCTCTGTGAATAACATGCTGCAAAGAGTAGTGCACCGCTCTCCTTGTCAGTCGAGCTGTGCCGTGGCAACACGAGTGAGAAATTCCCGCCATTAATTTATGGGCTCCGTGTTCTGTCCAGTGTCTGCGTTGATAATTGCGTGATAACTTAAAAGTTGGTGTAGTGGCTCTTGGTACGCAATGTCTTATTGCAGGAGGACTAGATTCACGCAGGTAGTAGTGCACCGTATTTCCCTTAGTACCTGATATTTCACAAATTTTGTCTTGACTGTACTGAGGCTTTCGCTTTCGTTCACAACAATGCCGGAAAGGTTCCGCAGCTCGCATTACACTTTTTAATTTTGAGTTTGCTCCGCTGGCGGCTGACCATATCGGACCTTCCATTCGTTGGTGCGAAGGATTTTTATTCAGAATGTTTAATTCAAAAGAGTATTTTGGCAAGTTGATGCACGTGCGTTTCCAGGCGCGACTTGCTATGTTAGTTTCTGACCTCCCTGCAGGCGGGACTTCTGACGGGTGTCTGTGCTCGTCAGAAGTCCTTAGGATTCCTTACATTTCCCTTCTCTGTCTCTCTCGTGCGGGCGGCCGACGTCCCGTGTTAGCGACCTCTTGTTCGAGTGTCTTCGTTTCTGTTGCTTTTCACCTGTCCCTCCTTGTCACTTCGTCTCTTTGAGATGCTAACGCTGCTTCTTTCGAGCCAGCTTCTGCGGACTGGACATCTGAGACCTTCCGCCCCTTGTGGGTGATGAATAATTGAGACCTTCCACCTCTATGGTGATGTTCATCTTGACTTTCGGTGCGATATAGCTAAATAGCTGAAGCGCTAGTAAACATTTGGCCACTAAACTAACTAACTAACTAGTTTCTGACCTGCGACAATTTGCCAGGTTTCGTCGTTGCGAGACTTCAGTTTGGTGCGCTGAAGTAGCTGTCGCTGAAGCGCTTATTTTTCCAACGATCAAATAATGCTTCAAATAGACTAGTATATAAAGATCGATGACGTCTGGATTTTCCATTTGACGGACATCGCCTTTGAGTAGTTCATTTGAATCCAATTACTCTTAAGCTTTATTAGGCCGAGTTCAGTTACCCCATATTGGACATCATCTCAACATGTCAGATCCATGAAATGTGGTATGGAAATATGTCAGTTGGCAACGCTGCCCAAAATCTATCTCGGTTATTTACAGACGGATCACTTCGAAACTTGGTACACGCATGTAAAACAGAAATATAAGCTTTTTTTGTTCGTGCGAATTTTTCGAAAAGAATGAAAGAAAACGTGATGTCCTTAGAAAACTGCCAAAAAGGGGGTACTGTGTGTAGAAATCTATCTCCTAGGATTTTCAAGCTACAACATCTAGACACATATCATTTGATTCGTTAAGATCATATCTACCAACGCTAGTAGGCGTTATTTAAAATTTTTATTTTTGTGGGTGTGGGGACATTTTTCATAAATTGTTCGGAAATTTTTCTATTTTAACCTCGCCAACCCCCCATTTTGCAAAATAAAGTCAAAATATAACGAAATTAGAAAAAACGCATACTCCCGTATGTAGATCTTTTCCTTGCAAATCGAATGGTATTTGTCTCATTTTTATAGCTTCAAAACTCTAGGAGAAGATAGGTTTGCCGTGAGACGGTGCCGGTTGGAGGTTTTCAGGAGAAAACCTCCAACCTAACTCATTGGCTGCAGGAAGTAAGAGAGGCGGTCCAAATGTACTGATTAAGCCAGTCATTGGCTGCAAGAAGGCTGTGTGCCGTGGCAGCGAGAAAAGGTTAGGCCGAAGTAGGTACTGCTGGATGAGGAACTGCCTGCCAAGGAGCAAGCATGATTAAGCATTTGCTAAAGACCTGCGGCGCTATTATCTTTCGGCAGTGTGTCGCTTGTTTAGATTATGGTGTTCAAGCGTAGTCTGCGGCTTCTAGCTCTGAGGCTGAGTAAAATTAATGCATGATGAAGCTGGGCGTTGGATCCAGGGTTTATTTAAGAGTAAATTTGTGGCCTACGGCTGCGCCCCCGACGCTTCTAGTATGAACGCCGTCAAGAACAGAATAGACGAAGCTTCAGTCTTGAAATGCCTATATACCGTACAGTCCTGGCAATAGTCAGTTCTGGCAAGATCGGGTTCATAAGGCTGGATCCATTGTGGAATCAAGTCACGAAAAATACAAGAATCTGCAACGGGCCATGGGCCTATTTCTTCAGTGCCGACACTTCTATTCTATGTTACCCGGCACTTCTAAGTTATTGTGGCTATTCTTAAATCCCTACTTTGTATGTTCCTAAATTTTTATAAAATTTTCTTGCACATCACCAGTGTCTTCTTTTCCTCCCTGATTTGTGAACACTGCTACTTTCTTGGATGTTTCTTTTACATTTTTTCGGCGCGTGTGGAGCAAGGAAGACATTTTTCGACATTGTTATTTGCAAAAAAATGCGTAAATAATATTTTTCTTAGTTTTATTTTTTCATTCATATATTTGTTGAGTTCTGGTATAGGTTTATTAGCTCCGCAATCTAAAACTATCTTAAAATTCTTAACAGTTTTCTAATTGAGAAATAGTTATTTACGTATGAGGATTAATTGAATAGAGACAATAAAGTTGAAAATTTGATTGGCTACTGATAGATTCTCCTAAATGTTTAATGTTAACAAATATAGGTACGTACTTTTCACTGCAATGTTAATATTAACCCATTAATGCCGAGCGGTTCCAACCAGCGGGAAAAATGGATTCCTAATGAAATTATATGATCAAATAAATATACAAGTGTTAAGTGTATGCGTAGGTTAGATACATATCTTGTACGCAACGTTTCAACGTTGCGTACAACGTTATTCAACGTTCTGGATACAAATCAAAAGCAACGTGCGCACGTCTGGCAACGTTTGTATCTGCTGCGCCGCTACTCCCTGTCCCTGTCACTCCCTGACCCCTGTTAAGTTAACATTCAAAGATTTGAAGAACAACATTGTCAGAGAGGTCAGGTCGGCTTGGTTTCGTAGCAGAGAAAGGTGAAATTAACACGTTTGTAGTATGGCAACCCTTGACTCATCACAGTTGAACGATATTATTGAGTAAGTACAATAGTAACTCTAAGGTAATTTTTAATTTCCTTATTTACTAAAGATTTAAATCAATATCTTATGTATGATAGTGCTGGTAGCGGTAGGTATCCATGATTATACAGGCCCAGGGTCCAGCAAAAAACCTCCCTGATTTCAATTGGCTTTTTCAAAAAATCATACGACACATACAGAACAATTAATTTTATTTGTGAATACCGTCAAACTGGGTAAAAACGGACAGTTTTGAGCGTTTTTTTGTTAATAACTTCTTAAATGAAACATTTCACAAACAAGTTTAGGCTCATTTCATAGCTCTTTGCGAGGGCTATCAAATGGCATCTTCAAAAAAATTCCATGTGCTATTTGTAAGGTGCCAGACGCAATATAAACGGCTCCTGAATTAATCTGGAATTGGGGTAAAAAGGGACACTTGAAAGTTGAAATAAAACTTAATTTTAAACATGCAGAGTGTTTTAAAAATGCAGAGTGTACCTAAACATGCTAAACACTTTTAAACATGTAGAGGCCAGAGTGTACTCACCTAAACATGCTAAACACTTTTAAACTAACATCCATTTGAACTAACATCCATTGAGTGACCCACTATGCAGAGGGTGGATGCAGCGTCGCCAATATATGGATTTTTAAGCCCAAAGCGTCGCCGCCATTTTAAAGATGCGTCACCGGGTAATTTTTAATGAAAAGCCATTTACGCTGAGTAATGAAAAACTATTCACAAGCCTGAAGCCACAAACTTATTTACAAGGTTGCATGCATGTGTTACCCCAAATAACTAGTTTTACCCTAAAAACAGTCCGATTGTACAGCAAGTGTCAACTGAACATGTGAAAATGCAATCTGACCGCTCTAATGTGACCACAACTACGTAATCGTAAACTTGATGTTTACATTTTTTTGGCGGGAACCGGGAACTCATCGTAACTGATTTCTGAACAAGCTTCACTGCATCCTGATCCATCAAACATACCGGAAACGGAAAGCTTACTTTTTTTCTAAATAGTTGATCAAAGACTAACTACTATATTAAATGCAAGAATTTCAATCTAAATGTGTCGGCAAGATCTTCTGAAGGCGTAAATTTTGCTTCTGAAGCGTCGCCAAAGATCTTGCAATATTCATCCACTCTCTGCACAGTGGTCAGAGTGACCTGGATGTTAGTTCTGCCTAACATCTGTTCTCAACAAGCTTCTTTAGGGAGTGATGAGTGAGCATTGCATTGAGTGACCTGGATGTTAGTTCTGCCTAACATCTGTCATCCATGCTGTTCTGCTACCCAAGAAGATTTTATTTAAATTTTAATTTTTGTTTAGATTTAAAATTTAAGCAAAAATCTTTGCGATTAACCTATATTTATCTTAACATTGGCCTTTGCTAACAGAGGATCTGCTGTAAATGTGTTTCAGGGTTGTCCCTAATTACCCGGGGGGGTGTCCCTTATTACCCCGTTGCGCAGAAATGGCTCCCATTTTTTCTTTTTAATGAGATAAGCAAATTCCGTCAATTACATTTTCAAGCCACACCTGTGTGCAACTTTTATGTAAGTAAAATTTTTTAATACGGCGAATATTTTTTTTTTTTTTTTGCTCCAGACCTTAGCAGAGGTACTTTTCCAAAGTTGCACTTTTTGCACTTTTTTTTCAGAGATTTTAATGAGATAGTAAATGTTTGAATTCTTGACTAGCTTTATACATAATATATAGTATGTGGGTAGACACAACGCAACATCTTACTGCAACACAAATAAATAAATAATGTTGCTGGAACACTTTGAGAGGCTTTGCCTAAACAGGGATACAATATTATCATCTTATTAGTCGGTAATACTTTAGATTAAGTGCATCCAAAAAAGGGTGTTTTTTAATTATATGTTTTTTGGGGTGTAGATTAAGAATCTGAAATCAATTTTTGGCGGTTGGCATTGGAAATTTTTAATGGAACCTGTTCCTAACTGGACCTGACCTGCAAGGTTTTCGTTGATTGGCTAGGTTTTTCCCACTGCAGGACGGACTCCAAACATAGAAAAAACTTAGCCGTTCAACGGAAACCTTCCATTAAAAATTTCCAATGCTGACCACCAAAAACGTATTTCAAATTCTTAATCTACTTCCCAAAAAACATACAATTAAAAAAATACCCATTTTTTTGGATGCACTTAATCTAAAGTAATACCTATAAGTCTAACATACCATCAAACAGGGTAATAAGGGATGGGCAGGTAAATCGAGACAGTCATCCCACATTTGGTAGAAATGTTGTAGTAGCTAAACTACTCAAAATATTGCAAAACTAAAAATAGTGGTGTAAAGTTAAACATTTTTACTATGTAGCAAAAAGCAAGTTAGGAAATCATACATTTACTACTGTCAACCAGGGCTACTCGGGACGGGCAGGGCTACTCGGGACTGGCCTCCGACACATCGTAAAACTGTTGTAGTAGCGAAACTAATTGGAATATTGCAAAACTAAAAATAGTGGCGTAAACGTCAACATTTTTCCTATCTATGTAGTGTAAAGAAAGTTGAAAAATACTACATTTACTTGCTATGAAAAATTCCTGAAAAAAATTGTGAAAAACTATATTTTGTAAAGTTACAACTGCTAAGGTATGTAGCAAAAAAAAATATTCGCCGTATTAAAAATGAACCTCAGTTAGCAAAGGCTCCAGACTCCAGTTAACCAAAAAAATCAATTGACAACAATAAATTTTGATAACATTTACCTCGCTCAGCCAAAAAATTTCACCTAACAAAAAATTAATGCATCATTGGTCATCACAAAATTGTGCAAAGAATGTCATAGATAAAATTGTGCACCGGTAACATAGAATGAAAAGTAATTAATCTAAACTATTATTTATTTCCCCAAAAAAAATGATGATTTTCACTAAAATATTCCTTTCTGTTTCAGGTATATTTTTATTTTTTTTATCATAGTGAAATCACTTGACCAAATTAAAATGGTGTTGAGGGGACCAGCTACCCTAAAATTTTCAATTTTGGCGTTTTCCGGTTTTTGTGCTCATTTGGTTTTTGTGCTTTCCAATGGTACCACTGCCATCGCTGTACGCCAATATTTACGTTCATGACGTCTCTTTAAAGAGAAGTGGGTGGGAGAGTTCTTTAACTAATTAGATATAAAGTAATTAGCTGCTCAAATCTTTGAATATAGTTTCTACTTGAGTTGTGCTGCAGTTACATGTTTAGTCTCATCTTAAAGCTGACATTCTGAGCTTTCCAACGATACTACTGCGATCCATGTATGGCAATATTGACGCACATGGCCAGGATTTAATGGGGGGCGGGGGGTGGAGTTCCTTCACTAAATAGACCTAAGAAAATTAGAGCGGAAAGACTACATATATTGGTGTATCTGGCATCTGAGCTCAGTTACCCTCCTAACTTTGTACGTAGAGGTGCGCTACAAGTTGCTGCTAGCATCCTTGAGTGGATTAAGCTACAGAAGCCTGTAGTTTGGTATCCATGCTACATTGAGTGCCTATTTCGAGGCGGTCGGGACTTTGTCGCGCCGTCCTGAAAAGTTTGAAAAGTTCAACTTATTGTCACGGAAAACCTATCTCCTCCTACAGTTTTCAAGCTACAGCAATGAGACATACACCATTTGATTTGTAAGGAAATTACCTAAAAATTTGATGATCACTTTTTTGAATTTCAGTCTGGTTCGTTTTTTATATGGGGGAGAAGGGGGGGGAGGGGGGAAAATGAGAAAAATTGGATAAAATTCGCATAAAAAAAAACTAAGGGGAAAATGAGAAAAGTGATCATCAAATTTTTAGGTATGGTCCTTACGAACCGAATGATACGTGTCTCAATGTTGTAGGTGATATTTGTAGGAGGAGATTGATTTTCTAAAGTACCCCTTTTTAGCCGTTTTCTATGAATTTCACGTTTTCTATCAATTTTTTCGAAAAATTCATAGAAGCAAAATGTTCTTATTTATACATTTTACGTATGTATGTGAAGTTTCATGATGATCGGATAATAACTGTAGAAGTTTTTCTGGAGGGTAGCCGGTCCCCTTAAATTACAAGCCATCCTGTAAGCTTACAGATACAGAAGAAATGCTATGTGGCTGCTGATATGAAGCTTGCAGTGGACAAGGTCGTTGTAAATGCTCAATGAGCATTTACAACATCATTCTCTCATCTGCCCTCATCCGCCCTGGATATGGTGTAATTGCCATTCTATGGTTGGATTTCATGCACTCCTTTGGTTTATCATGTTAATTATACGTTTGCTTTTCAGACTGGGTAAAAACAGACAGACTGATGTATACCATTATTTAGGTTGAGTAGGCCCCTGTGCCTCAGTTTTGTGCTGGTTTCTTCTTTTCCTTCCACTGTACACAGGTTGTTCTTCTTGTTGTGTTGCTGTTTGAATAAATTATTAAATACAAACAAGGAAAATGTTCAATAAAAGGTTGATTGGGATGCTTGTAAGAGAGGTGGGGACCATCACTAATTCCTTGTTTTCCTGACCCTTTGCAACAAACACCCTCAGGTCCACAACATGGCTGATAACATGTTGTAATTNTATGTGGGTAGACACAACGCAACATCTTACTGCAACACAAATAAATAAATAATGTTGCTGGAACACTTTGAGAGGCTTTGCCTAAACAGGGATACAATATTATCATCTTATTAGTCGGTAATACTTTAGATTAAGTGCATCCAAAAAAAGGGTGTTTTTTTTAATTATATGTTTTTTGGGGTGTAGATTAAGAATCTGAAATCCGTTTTTGGTGGTTGGCATTGGAAATTTTTAATGGAACCTGTTCCTAACTGGACCTAACCTGCAAGGTTTTTATTGATTGGCTAGGTTTTTCCCGCTGCAGGACGGACTCCAAACATATAAAAAACCTAGCCGATCAACGGAAACCTTGCAGGTTAGGTCGAGTTAGGAACAGGTTCCATTAAAAATTTCCAATGCTTACCGCCAAAAACATATTTCAGATTCTTAATCTACATCCCAAAAACATACAATTAAAAAAATACCCAATTTTTTGGATGCACTTAATCTAAAGTAATACCTATAAGTCTAACATACCATCAAACAGGGTAATAAGGGATGGGCAGGTAAATCAGGACAGTCATCCCACATTTGGTAGAAATACTGTAGTAGCTAAACTACTCAAAATATTGCAAAACTAAAAATAGTGGTGTAAAGTTGAACATTTTTACTATGTAGCAAAAAGCAAGTTAGGAAATCATACATTTACTACCTGTGAAAAATCCCTGAAAAAAAGTGCAATTTTGGAAAAGTGCCTCTGCTAAGGTCTGAAGCAAAAAAAAAAAAATGCTGTATTAAAAAACCTTACTTACATAAAAATTTTACATAGGTGTTGGCTTAAAAACGGGGTTGACAGAATATGCCTATCTCTTTCCAAAAAAAGATGCTGGACATTTCTGCAGGATGGGGTAATAAGGGACCCCCCCCCCCCACCCTCCAGGGTAATAAGGGACACCCCTAAAAACATGTTTACAGTATAGAACCTCAGTTAGCAAAGGCTCCAGACTCCAGTTAACCAAAAAATCAATTAACAACAATAAATTTTGATTACATTTACCTCGCTCAGCCAAAAAATTTCACCTAACAAAAAATTAATGCATCATTGGTCATCACAAAATTGTGCATAGAATGTCATAGATAAAATTGTGCACTGGGTAACATAGAATGAAAAGTAATTAACCTAAACTATTATTTATTTCTCCAAAAAAATATGATGATTTTCACTAAAATATTCCTTTCTGTTTCAGGTATATTTTTATTTTTTTATCATAGTGAATTCACTTGACCGAATTAAAATGGTGTTGAATTACAAGCCATCCTGTAAGCTTACAGATACAGAAGAAATGCTATGTGGCTGCTGATATGAAGCTTGCATTGGACAAGGTCGTTGTAAATGTTCAATGAGCATTTACAACTTCATTTTCTCATCTGCCCTCATCCGCCCTGGATATGCTATGGATATGGTGTACCTAATTGCTATTCTATGGTTGGATTTCATGCACTCCTTAGGTTTATCATGTTAATTATATGTTTGCTTTTCAGACTGGGTAAAAACAGGCAGACTGATGCATACCATTATTTAGGTTGCGTATGAGACCGTTTGCCTCTGTTTTGTGCTGGTTTCTTCTTTTCCTTCCACTATACACAGGTTGTTCTTCTTGTTGTGTTGCTGTTTGAATAAATTATTAAATACAAACGAGGAAAATGTTCAATAAAAGGTTGAATGGGATGCTTGTAAGGGAGGTGGAGACCATCACTAATTCCTTGTTTTCCTGACCCTTTGCAACAAACACCCTCAGGCCCACAACATGGCTGATAACATGTTGTAATTAGAGTCCTAGAACCATAAAATAAAAATTTAATCTAATTCAGTTCAATCAAGTTACCTTAAATAATTACATATGTATTGATACTTCAGCCTTTTAAAAAATGCATCAATTTCATTGTCCAAGTTGAAACTTTCATTTAAATGCTCATATTATTATTTTTGGGCATTGTAGGATGTGATGCTGTAGATGGAACGATTGTTTGATAATTAGTGATTGACTGAGGCTTTATAAAAAAAGCCTCTAACACAAAATTATAGAAGCTGTGGTGGGTCCCTTTGTGAGGCGATTTCAAGTGACAGTATATGGTATTCACCCGTGAGAGGGTTAATGCTCATGGCACTAAGGCAGACTACCCAGTGAAGTGACAACTCAATTGTTGCTTGTTGAAGCTTCTGTACAAAATTGCTAATGTAAACAATAGCCTTGAAAAAGTTAAATCAAAATTGGTTTCTTTCATTACTGTCAAGTGGGGTGACTTCAGCCACCATCACAACAGAAACAAATGGCAGCAAAACAAAATAATGAACATTGGCCAATGTTTATTTTTTTGTTTTGCTGCCATTTGTTTCTGTTGTAGTGGTGGCCAAAGTCACCCCACTTGATGGTACTAAGTTTTACTTCAATGCAAAACATTATGTATTCATTTTTGAGTGCCCATTTATTAGCGCATTTTCTCATTTATGGAAAAAATGTACTATTGTGCTCGACATGTCCGTCTGTCTGTCTGTCTGTCTGTCCGTGACCTCAAGTTTTCGTTGACAAGAAAATGCGCTCTCTGTCACTCACTGCAGTGAGTGCCTACTGAGTTATATCTTTTTAAAATAAATTTCACTTTTTTCAGTTTACTTGAAGAGAAGTACACTGAATCAACCACACTTGATGAGATTCTCTCAACTGCTCGCAAGAAGTTCTCTAATAAAGATTACTTCAAAGGTTGGTTCATGTTTCCAAAATACTTTCATACAATGTTAGCATCTAAAAAATATTGAGGCATTATTGTAATTATTTAATGGTTTTAAAAATCTATCTCATCTGAAGGAATATATTAAACAGTAATACAGTTGAAGGGTTAAGTTTGAGAGCTGGATGCTGACTTTATGAGGAACTTAACAGTGTGCATTATTAGATATTAGATGTGCATATTATCCATTAGAAGTGTAACATAGCCTTTATCATTTGTTTCTTCATTGGCTAGTAGAAATTTCTACAAAAGAAAACCATTTAAGTGTTCCTTAGAATTATACTGACATACATATGTAATACAAGTTCAATAACTGTTATTATTACAAAATACAAGTGACTAATCTTTGTAGTTATTAGGTTGTTTAACATTTTTATTTTTGCAAACGAGGCTTTTCAATTTGTTTAACATGCTACTCTTCAGTTTGCAGTGTTGTGAGTATCCTTGTTCAACAAAGGGATTTAATTCCTAAGTCAAGTCAGAAACTGGCTGCTCTTGTGCTCCTTCATCAGCTTCCTCTCTCAAACCCAGCAGAAGAAACCCCATTTCTCTCCCAGCTGTTCACTATTTTGGTGAGATTTTACTGTTGCAAACTCATCATCGTGTTATTGGCTTGTTGATTGTTTTGGGGAATGGCTACCGGTCCAATCACTTAGAATTTTGTACAGCTGTTGTGTAGGAGTCGTACAAATTAAAATGAATACTTATAACACCATGACCTCAATTTGAAAGTTGTGAATTTAGTGTCAAATTATATATTCTTCACCAGTTGTTGAAAGGATAGGATGAAAGAAAAATCATGGCAAATTTCAAATTTGTGTATCTTATTGTACTCAAAAGTGGTAAAATATGTCACTACTGCTAGGAAATATATGAAAATGAGCTATGTTAAAGTTTTGAATATTTCCTTGTTGGTATAGTAGTATTTAATTTTTTATGTGTCCTGAAAGAATCTTGATTTATTATGCAGTAGAGAAAATGAAAATGGAGTCTTTGATATTCAAGCTTCCCTGCAACAAATAATATATTGTGTTGTTCACATTACCATGTTCTTATGATTTTTTATAAAATGTACCATGTGCTATTGAGCTTAAGTTTATAGTTGTTCCTTAGGTATAGTATTTATACCTCATCATGGCAGAAAGATGGAGTAAGCAGCAGCAAACAACTGCCACAGCCTGTTCTTGATGAGAAGGAGAAGAGGTTTCTTCACTCGTTGCTTACAGTTAAGAATATTTCTGAGGTGAGATGGCAGTACATGTAAGCCTGTGTCATGAGTACGGTAGCCTGCATATGTATTTGCTAATTGGCTTGATTTTTCAACTATGTACGTAAACGTAATGAGATCACAAAGAGATGTTTATATTGATTGATGAATATAAATCATCCGTTCAATAATTGATGAATAAAAAGTAGATGCTTGAAAACTCTCTGTTCTGAAGTGATACTTGGTTTATTGAAAATTATTGACTTGCCATCACATTCAAGTAAAAATGACGAACCTTCAATGTATGCCTTGGCTGATGACCTATGCATAAGTGTTTATTTTCAATTATTTTTACTGTTATTCAGTTGCTAAAGCACCGTGCCACTGACTTGTTGGCGTTGTATGAAAAAGAGCTACATAAGCCGCTGCCCAGCATATCTCCTACTTCATTGAATCAGTCCTCAAGTTCACTGCCGACCAACGTCAAGGCTGGTGTGTCACTCCTGCTACCGTCGGTTCAACCTGCGTCGAACTCAGCAGCTGAGTACGTTTCCATTTGCAGTAATAACTGTCACCATGTATATATGTTGTTAAAATTTATCCTAATGCTCCATAATATACATGCAAGTAGCATATTGTTGCCTGTTGTTTCTTATACTTGTAATTTGAGAATCATATTATGTTCAGTCCAGTTAATTAACTTCCAAATAACAGTATGTTAATTTAGTTTAACCTGTGAAGACCGACAGTTAGCACGCGCTTCGTTAAATTACCTAGTAATTTCCTTGTTTTCTTTTCTTTTAATATAAATCAAATTTACAATTGTAAATTTATCTCCCAACTCGTTTTTAAACATCTCGTAACTACCCCGCTAAAAATACAATTTATTCCCAGGAGATATCCCGTAACGTTGAGTATCCTGGATACACGCCCGAGCGGCCTCGAAATATTGCTAGCGCCAAGCTTCAAACAAACACATACAAATCTATAATCAATATGTTTTCATTGTTCATACTTACTATCACAGTATCGTTCAAATGGCATATTTCAAATGTCTTGTTGCATTTAAAAAAAATTTCTCCATTATTTTACTACAAATTGTACGTGTTTTATGCATTAATTCTTATGCATGTGTTCAGTTTTTACAATACTTCTCTTTAACTTCACTTCTTGTTTGTTTGTTTGTCTGTATGCTACAAATCTTATAATCGATATTTCACACACTTCTACCTCACCAATCGATCAGAAATTTTGTAAACTTGCGTAAATATGGAGACAATGCGTGAATCATTTGACAAAATAAGTAATTTTGAAATAAATTTCTTTTAATATTATAAAAAGTTAAAAAATAATTTTCTCTGCTACGAATCTTATAATCAATTTTTAACACACTTCATGTTAAAAAAATTGAAAAATTAATTATTTTTTAATATTCCAAAATAAAATTAGATATTCATTGTACATGTGTAAAACATTGGCAACACTTAATTCTTTAGAAGTTTTGTCCTTAAGAAGTAATATTTAACCGTATATTATTTTTCTAACTATTTTCTATGATTGTATTTTGATTCTACAAATTTATATTATAATTTATGTCGATGTTGACTTTCATTCTGTTAGTTTACAGGATCTGTTTTTTGCTTTTAATGCTCGGTCTTAGTCTGGCATTTTATGATATTGACTTTAACTGTTAAAAAATCATCAAAATTTCAATTGTATTATGCAGTTGCCATGTTATCCGCAACTTTCTCGGCGTTTTAAGGCACATGGTCACAGCTGCTACTCTGTCCTGACTATCCAAAATATCGGTCTGCTTTAGTGTAATTTATTTATGTCTACCGCACCATCTAACGCCTCAAAAGCTTGTATTGACGTATTAAGAGGTCTATCTATGTACACGTATAATCTGGTTCAATAATAGTGAATTAGTCTAAACTTGGGTGCCAGTACAATCTGGCTCCCAAGTATATCTGGCTAGATAATCTGTGCCAGTATAATATGGCTCTACATGTGGCCCTGTGTGCCAGTATAATCTGACTTCCAAGTACTCTAAAATTATAAGCACATTCTTCCAGTTATATATAAAATAATCACACGATATCTTTCTCCTCTTTCTTTACTACCATAGTATATAACCCGCTATTCCACAATTGTGTGCGATCTCTTTCAGCGATTTCGCTTGTGGGTTTCACATACTATGGGGTATATGTGTGGGTTACTTGTATGGTCTCCCTGATATTATTCCTGCTGATTATATTGCGCAACACTCATCATTTGGCGTCCTTTTTGAAGTTCCTTAATATTTCAGGAACCGCTTGACCTTATCTATACTGGCAAGTGCTGTTGAAAGACACCAAGGATACATTCAGTATTAATTAGGTTGCAAGTTTTCTGCTAAGGCCATGTTTTGTGGTCGTTAGTGTTGCCGGAATTAGTACAAAGCTGCATTCATCCCCATGCCATATTCATATTTATCTATCTTTGTCTGTATTTGTTGTCATCGTCATGTAACCTCCGTACTCAGGTGCAGATCTGAGACCAGCGCAACTACTCGCTCAATTATAATCGAGGCTGGGGAAGAACTTCATAGATCATACATGCCTGAGCTGCTCCGACCACCACCACCAGTAACCATCTCACCTGACGAAGTGAGCTCATGGATACTCACATGAATTGTTTGACATTTCTATGAACTGTATTCATTTTATTCTTTATACGTCAAGTTCTTTTGTGCTTTGCATACTGTTGATAAATTAAATATTTGTTGTGGACCATTGCCTAAAATCATGTGTAGATGACAGCCATAGAATATTTTTGTTTAGATTTTATGAATCCGCTGTGAAGATGTGGTGCGACCAGTGCTCCATGCATGTTGAGAAGCTGGCTGTGTACAGAGCTAGTGTGTGTGTGTGTGTGTGTTGCTCACTGGTGTGTGTGTTGCACAGTTCTTGTTTTTTTTTTTGTATTCCTGGCGGACTTCGTGATTATCTTCATCATGTCTATTAACGTCTGCGTTATGCACACAGCTTGTGTGGTTGGAGAGCTGTCACCAGGAGGCGGAGGAGGAGATCTGCTACGACGCGAGCATGTGCGTGACAAGCGAGGGCGACACAGAAGCTCGGCGCCTCATGGGCCGCGCCTTCAAAGAGACTCTCAGCATTCCTCAGCTGCAGCTGCTGCTAGCCCACCTGCAACGGGACCCTAGGCTCGTCTATAGAACCGGTCTAACGCCTCAGAAAGTGAGTAGTGATAGTGACAAATTGGAACCTAAGGCTGGTCTATATCCCCCCTTTTTAACTCATCAGAAGGTGAGTGGTAATAATGACGCAGTGGGACCTGAGGCTGTCTATATTACCGGTCTAACGCCTCAGAAGGTGAGTGTTAATAATATAGTGAAAACTGAGTCTGGTCTAGCGGTATAGCACCGGTCTAACGCCTCAGAAGGTGAGTGATTATTATTTATTACGCTAAGGGCTCTAAGGTTGGTCTATAAAACTGTTCTATTCTCTTAGTATATTTAGCATTTGTTTCGGACGTGGCAGTCCCAGGCCCCGATGGATCGTCGCCTCTGATTATAATTATCGCTCATCCGCCCTCATTTGGGCCAGCTGATGCACGATGCTGTTGTTTGCTTCTCGCCGCTGGTAGTGGTGCAGGGGCGGTCAATCAGGGATGGTGCTCAGGAACACGTCGTCGTCTCTTGAAGGTCTCCAGGGTGAACTCCCCCTCTCTTAGATCCTTTGGTAGGACTTTAAATAGCCTCGGCCCTCCCACTTAAGGGGATCCTTCCCGCAGAGATTGAAATCTGACCGCAGATCTGTTACGTAGTTTGGGGATCCTACACAGCCTCCCCCTTCTTTCGCTATGGTATGTCTCAATCTTGACGATCTCGCTTTCAAAGTTTGGTGCCATTCCGGTTATCATTTTCCATGTGTACAGAATGACTTACATACCTCTCCCGTCTCCTCGGCAGTGAGTACAGACCCAGTCGCTGCAACCTCTCCCAGTAGTTAAACAACATCCCTCTGATCCTGGAAGCGAAGGTTCGTTGGACCCCTTCCAGTTGCCGTACTGCACCGAGAGAGAACAGAGTCCAGAGCTGGCAGCAGAATTCAAGGATAGGTATATCAAGGGATCATCGGTTCCGCATCTCTCGCTCTGAACGTCCGCCAGATCCACCTCATCTGTCGTCTACCTCTTGCGGTTTTGCCGCTATGTGATCACCAAAATTGGCCTGATTGTTCATCAGCACTCCTAGATCGCGAGCGAGTCGCTTCTCTTCGATTTCCGAGTTGTCATGTGCCAGGTAGCGGTGCTTCATTCCATCTCTTCCGGTTCCTCTGTACCTCAGAACCTCAAACTTGGTCACGTTGAACTGCATGTTGTTCACTAGGGCCCAGTCGTATATTTGCTGAGAGGTCTTCTTGCAACCTCTCTCAGTCCGTCCTGTCCGTGGTGATCATTAGTATCATGGTTTCGTTCGCGAATGACGATGCAGTGGCGTGTCCACTGCTACATCTATGTCGGCGATGCGAATGAGGAAAAGGATTGGGCCGAGTACCGTTCACAGTGGTACTACACTCGTACCCCCTAGCCTGGCTCGACCTCGAGCCTCCAACAACCACAGCTTGTAATCTTTCTGTTAGGAAGCTGTGGATTCTTTCTGTTGTCTGTTAGGAAGCTGTGGAGCAGTCTTAATTTTCTGAAGAGCACTCCATGGTCAACTTTGTCAAACGCTTTCGCATAGTCCAAAAATACTTGTGGTATCATGAGCCATCACTAATCCTGGTAAAATTCGTGTCGAAGTCCTAACGATCATGAAACAATAAAAATACTCGTATTAATATACACCACTTTTCTCGATCAGCTGCCGGTGCTGGTTGAGCACAATCCCCTAATAGCAATCGAGTTCTTACTGCGCGTGATGCAGACCAAGCAACTCACGGACTATCTCAACGTGCTTGTCAACATGGAGATGTCACTGCACAGCATGGAGGTTGTCAACAGGTGTGTTACACTTGCTGTTGAGCTTACACACCACATAGCATTTAGATTTTAAAAAGATGTGCTACACTTGTTATGCTTACACAATGAATAACATGTAGGTTGACAGCAGGTGTTCCGCACTAAATAGAATGTATTTACATGATAAAACGACGTTATCAAAATCAAAGGAATACTATATCTTAGCTTTATTTCTCGCCCTGACATCTACTGCAATGGGTACAGGCTAACAACAGCAGTTGAGCTACCGCCTGAATTCATTCACCTCTACATCACGAACTGTATCAGCACCTGCGGCACCATCAAAGATCGCTACATGCAGAACAGACTTGTACGTCTCGTGTGCGTCTTCCTTCAGTCCCTCATCCGGAACAAGATTATTAATGTCAAAGTAAGTGGAAACTGGCACTGAAAATAGTCCGACAGTACATAGCTGAATCATTTCCTTCATTTCTGTATCATTACTTTACTGCTGTATCAAGATTATTGATCCTAGTTGTGATTTGAAGCACGTAAATGAGGGAACATGAATGTGAAAAATTATATATTGACGTTGAAGTAGTGCATACTGTTTTTAGGAATAAGTTGAGAATGATCAGTGTTGGATTATCTTAGGGATAGGTAAAATTAATCCATACCAATTTGATGCACATATATCCTTCGATGTTGTGCTATCTTCCTTTTACTAAAGTTTTCTGCAAATACATGTACCGCTCTGTTGTTTACTCTATGTACGGGTCAAGCACGCTTTATTCTTGTACAGAATTTGTGCGTTGAAGTTCAGTCGTTTTGCATCGAGTTCAGCCGTATAAGGGAGGCGGCGGCGTTGTTCAAGCTCATCAAGCAGCTTGACTCCTCTGAAAGTTCATCATCTGGCGCCTCTGCAAACCCTGATACGTCTCAGCCTTCTGTGACATGCCTGGCTCCACCGACTGCTGATTCTAGAAACCAATAAAAAAAAATCCCATAGCCAAATTTATTTAAACCACCATTGGGGTTAGGAATATTCTAAGATGCTTGAACTTGTCCAGATTTTGGCGAGTTATAAATAATATGTTTCTAAGATATTCCTTTTTACATTGAAATTCATCTCTTGCAAGAATACGATTTTAAAAACTTTTTTTTTAGTTTTGCGGCATACAGAAATATATTTCCAATTCCGCAAATCCTGTATTACGTTGACATTCACGGTTCAACCATGGAACTGGTGCTGTGACTCCGACAATCCGAGAGCTGGAAGAGTGGAAGCATTAATCACTTGGTCATAATTCCTGAATATGTTTTTAGAAGCCGTTGCGATTGTCGCGAAGTGTGACCCTTTTATTAACAAGACGAATCAATTATTGATGTGGTGTGTAACTTTGGCTTAGCCTTACCATCATACTTTTATATAATAACAGACGTATCCTATTAGTTTTACTAGCCTACTAGGTATTCTGATTGGAGCTCGGCAATTGAAATGTCAAATAATTATTGCTATTTGCTACGACCTACGAATACATGACGTGGTTTGATATGGTACTTAATCTTGAGAGGCAAATAAAAGTGGAAAAACACGTTACACGTTATTTATTTTCCAAAAAATTGTGTTCTAGAATCTATATCTATGATGATCTGGACGTGGACTGGTCACTGGAAGACAGGACTCACAGGAGGAGGTCATAGTCATACTATAGTATACTACCTAGTACCTACTGAAGTACCTAGCTCAGTAGCTGTAGGCCTTAAGCTGGTGACAATCTGTGACATTGTCTGACTGGACTGACTTTGATTTGCCTCCAGCTAAGATGACTTTGATTTGCCTCCAGCGGCCAGCCCTCCACCAGCTCAGATTGACAGAATCAGATTCGTCAATCTTGCCTCAAAGGCTTGATCAATCCCTTCAACAAAAACTCTGGAAAGAAATATCAAAAACATTTTAAAATACAACAAAATTTAAGTTAGAAGAAAAATTATAGTTTGATTGTCTAAAAATAACTTGATATATACATGTTTATCCTTTCTAAATAACATTAAACAAGCATATCAGCCAAGGTCAGTTTCCAGAACTTGATTTGAACACAGTCCTAGTTCTGTTGGTGTTGGATGAAGAGAAGCTTTTCAAAATTTTCTGGCTGAAGCTTGATTCTTTTGTGCATGACTAGCCTATGTTGTAAAATGTAATGGATGCCACCTGCAGAGAAGGCTCTTTTGGAAGTTGCTAAAGACGCTGGATTTGCTAGGCATGGTGGTTTTTTAGGAAATCCTTGGGCATTTAGCCCCAGTGCCACCCCCAGCACTCCAGTAGGCACACTGGCACTCCGAAGTCCGAAGCAAAAAAAACCTAGGTAGATCTAGGTTTTTTGCTTCCTGCTAGGTTTCTAGGTTTTTCATTAACAAACTGATCCTAATTTAATTTTTTTTTTCAGAATGGTGCACTGAAAGCAGAAATTGGTTAATTATTATTTTTATTGCCAACAGCAACATGCTAGGTAGCGCCGCCGCCGTACTGCTTCTGCTAATAGAGGTAAAGATATTTAATTATTTTTTCCACAATCAAAGAACATTTTCCTGGGCTTCTTTTCTTGGCAAAGGATGCATAGCTAAGTTGTAGTCTTGTAGACATCTTTGCAATGTGTCTGACTGATCCACTGCCAGAGCCAGAAGTGCTGTTCCTTGTGATTCTTGGAAGTGAGATTCAATCACATCTAGCACCAAAGAATCCGTTTCTTCCTCCAAGTTGGCAGTGGTCGTTGGTTGAACACTAATTTTGATGAGCCATTCACAATGATTGGTATGGTTTTGAACCAAATACTTGTACTAGGCATCAAATCAACGGATCATCATAGGTAAATGCGGTATATTCCGACACTTTGAGGACGTAGCAAAAAATGAATGGCTATAAAAAACCGTATGCGCAACTCGAGCGAAGAGTTCTGTTTGCTTAATGTCACTCTTCAAAGTCCAAACACCGCACTACGTGCCAGCAACAATGAAACGTCACAAAATGTTGCCGCATTTATTTAAAAGCCTTTAGATTGCAAACCTACCAAATCCATATATTCCGACACTGTGTGTGACTAAATTCGGCATTTTGTGAGACTAATTCCAGCCGCGCTTCAAACTCTACTAATTTGTAATGCTGACACTCTTGTGTTCAAATTCTGATTGATGTGTGAGCTGTATTGGAATACGACACAGCTTGGAATTAAAACAATATTGAATATTGAACACTACTTAATTAGGCTTTTAATTAAGAGCTATTAAGCTTTTAATTAAGAAATTTTTAATTTTTGCACACAGCTTGGAACAAGCTTTGTGTGTCTAATTCCATGCTGTGTTGGAATTGGTTTTCATGTGTCTAAACCGTCTCTTAACTTAATCATCTATTAATTCATTTACGACTTGAAATTAGCAAATACAACTTACAAGTATACTTGAAGGATTCCTAATATATTCACAGACGTATTTAAAAGTCTCAAACCATAATATTCTTTCTACACAAACAGTTTATCACTATTTGGTAGAGCAAGGTCAACTATAAACTTTGACACATTTTTCGATGTTCTTGCTGGGTGATGCGCACTGTCTCTCTTTGGATCTCAACATTTTCCCGCCAGATGGCCCAGACCTAGTGTTTTAGCAATAGTATGGCGCGCAAAAGTATGACGTCACTATTTCAACCATCAATGAATGCATGGAACTAAGTAAAAGCTTAATATGAAGGAAAAAGTCTAGAAGTGTTGGAATTACCTACCCACGATGTTGGAATATACCATGTTTACCCTAAATAGATCACCGTATGTGCAATACGAGTTCTGATTGGTTTACGTCACTCTCAAAACACCACACAATGTGCCAGGCTCCAGCAATTATGAAATGTCACAAACTGTTGCCATATTCATTTAAAAGCCTTTAGAATTAAAATAAACAAAATCGCTGCATTCTGACACTGTGTGTGACTAAATGTGGCATATTGTGAGTCTAATTCTGACAGCGCTTCAAAATCATAATTCGTAATTCCAGCACCCTGTGTTAGAATTCCAACATCCTGTGTCATGGCTGTGTGTTGTAATTCCCACACCTTGTTATTTTCATGTGTCTAAAACTGTCTCTTAAATCAATCATCTATTAATTTATTTACCACTTGAAATTGGCATATACAAGTACTATACTTAGAGGATTCATAATATATTCACAGACTTATTTAGAAGTCTCAAACCATAATATTCTTTCTACACAAACATTTTATCACTATTTAGTATAGCAAGGTCAACTATCAACTTTCATGTTTTGATGTTCTCACTAGGTAGCTGACTTGTACTTTCACTCTGCGGATCTTAACATCTTCCCGCTAGACCTAGTGTTTTGCGGAAATCTTGCGCGCAATAGTATGACGTCACTATTTTAACCATCTACGCATGTGTGGAACTAATACCAAGTTTAATCTTATTAATAGGGAAAAAGTTGAGGGGTGTTGGAATTACCCACAGCCGCAGTGTTGGAATATGGTGTGTTTACCCTAAGTACAAGGACTGAGAGTGTTAAAGCCCAAGTTTCAGTTATCAAGCAACAGGGATACTAGAGGTCACTCTCTTAAGCTTGCAAAAGGTAGATGTTGACTCAGCATATGAAGCAACTTCTTTTCACAGTGAGTAATTAACTCCTGGAATAGTCTGCCAGAGTCGGTCATCACAGCGTCATCTCGCATCTATGAACAGCTTCAAGAGCAGGTTCAACAGTTTCTAGCTGGCCCTGTACAGCCCCAGCCCTATACAGCCCTTCATGTTACAAGTGATGGGGCTTCAAACATCTTGGAACAGAGACTGCGATGTATTCGGTGCCGATAAAAATTGTTGTTGACCAATGAATAGGACTGTCAAGGACCTTGAATCGTGTTGTCAAAATCAAAGTTCTAATTGGCCAACTAATCTAGCAACTGCATCCCTATGCACTCCATGGTGCCTGAACTCATTCAGAACGTGTAATGAACTCAACTAGTACTTGTACGGTTCCCATAAAGTGCTGTCAAAGCCTTAGTTAAGACTTAAGAGTAACATTTTTTGCTCATTACTCAGCCATACATTGACAGGTTTGCAGTGTTTGTCGGACCACTAATTAACTGCCATGTCAGTTGCAGTTAGTCTGACAAATTTTGCTAAATCTGCAATTTAACTCAATTTAACTGGTAACTATTAGCAATAAAGGGCTAACTGGGCATTCTTCCACCCATGTTCTCGAAATGATTCATATCGTAATCAAAAAACTTTTTGTCTTGAATAGTTAAGACAAATCTCTTAATATATTCACAGACGTATTTAAAAGTCTCAAACCATAATATTCTTTCTACACAAACAGTTTATCACTATTTGGTAGAGCAAGGTCAACTATAAACTTTGACACATTTTTCGATGTTCTTGCTGGGTGATGCGCACTGTCTCTCTTTGGATCTCAACATTTTCCCGCCAGATGGCCCAGACCTAGTGTTTTAGCAATAGTATGGCGCGCAAAAGTATGACGTCACTATTTCAACCATCAATGAATGCATGGAACTAAGTAAAAGCTTAATATGAAGGAAAAAGTCTAGAAGTGTTGGAATTACCTACCCACGATGTTGGAATATACCATGTTTACCCTAAATAGATCACCGTATGTGCAATACAAGTTCTGATTGGTTTACGTCACTCTCAAAACACCACACAATGTGCCAGGCTCCAGCAATTATGAAATGTCACAAACTGTTGCCATATTCATTTAAAAGCCTTTAGAATTAAAATAAACAAAATCGCTGCATTCTGACACTGTGTGTGACTAAATGTGGCATATTGTGAGTCTAATTCTGACAGCGCTTCAAAATCATAATTCGTAATTCCAGCACCCTGTGTTAGAATTCCAACATCCTGTGTCATGGCTGTGTGTTGTAATTCCCACACCTTGTTATTTTCATGTGTCTAAAACTGTCTCTTAAATCAATCATCTATTAATTTATTTACCACTTGAAATTGGCATATACAAGTACTATACTTAGAGGATTCATAATATATTCACAGACTTATTTAGAAGTATCAAACCATAATATTCTTTCTACACAAACATTTTATCACTATTTAGTATAGCAAGGTCAACTATCAACTTTCATGTTTTGATGTTCTCACTAGGTAGCTGACTTGTACTTTCACTCTGCGGATCTTAACATCTTCCCGCTAGACCTAGTGTTTTGCAGAAATCTTGCGCGCAATAGTATGACGTCACTATTTTAACCATCTACGCATGTGTGGAACTAATACCAAGCTTAATCTTATTATAAGGGAAAAAGTTGAGGGGTGTTGGAATTACCCACAGCCACAGTGTTGGAATATGGTGTGTTTACCCTAAGTACAAGGACTGAGAGTGTTAAAGCCCAAGTTTCAGTTATCAAGCAACAGGGATACTAGAGGTCACTCTCTTAAGCTTGCAAAAGGTAGATGTTGACTCAGCATATGAAGCAACTTCTTTTCACAGTGAGTAATTAACTCCTGGAATAGTCTGCCAGAGTCGGTCATCACAGCGTCATCTCGCATCTATGAACAGCTTCAAGAGCAGGTTCAACAGTTTCTAGCTGGCCCTGTACAGCCCCAGCCCTATACAGCCCTTCATGTTACAAGTGATGGGGCTTCAAACATCTTGGAACAGAGACTGCGATGTATTCGGTGCCGATAAAAATTGTTGTTGACCAATGAATAGGACTGTCAAGGACCTTGAATCGTGTTGTCAAAATCAAAGTTCTAATTGGCCAACTAATCTAGCAACTGCATCCCTATGCACTCCATGGTGCCTGAACTCATTCAGAACGTGTAATGAACTCAACTAGTACTTGTACGGTTCCCATAAAGTGCTGTCAAAGCCTTAGTTAAGACTTAAGAGTAACATTTTTTGCTCATTACTCAGCCATACATTGACAGGTTTGCAGTGTTTGTCGGACCACTAATTAACTGCCATGTCAGTTGCAGTTAGTCTGACAAATTTTGCTAAATCTGCAATTTAACTCAATTTAACTGGTAACTATTAGCAATAAAGGGCTAACTGGGCATTCTTCCACCCATGTTCTCGAAATGATTCATATCGTAATCAAAAAACTTTTTGTCTTGAATAGTTAAGACAAATCTCGTCTCATTATGTCTTGTTTTGGTTCATATTTACCAGGACACAAGTTTTTAAGTCCAGGACAGAAGTCTTGTATCGGTTCATACGTTTATTCCGGGACAAATTTTACCCTCTATCGCGCTATTTTTTTCCCAGAATTTTCTTGTCTTGTTTTGTCTGTCCCAGTTCATTTTGAGAAAATTATTTCGGGATGCAGGAGTCTTAGGAGCATGGTGGTTGGTGAGTCCGAGTCAGGTTATTGGTGAAGACTCATACTTGAGTTTGTTTTACTGTTCTAAGAGTCATATAAGTAGACTAGTAAAATATCCTGGTCCTGCCCAGTCTCTGGATATCTCTACCAGCAGTATCATACAAAAGATATTGGCTTAAATTTTGACTTGAAGATAAATTTGAAAAAGGAATGGATTCCAAGAAATCTGTGGCTTGCTCCCAGTCACCTGTGTGGCAGCGGCACTATCTGTAGCTGGCAGCAAAGTAGGTTGCCAAAAATATAGGAACTAATGGCTAACTACACCTAATGGAAATGTGCAAAAAGAAACACTTTTTCCTGCCCCCCCCCCTCTATATATAAGTCAAACTATGCATAGATCCAAAAAAGGGCTCCTAGAGTTGCTATAGGAATGGTCCACTGACCCCTCGCAACATGGTTTCAAGCCTGGACACTCCACAGTCACCACCCGTGGCCCTCCTCCCGCTCGTGCAATAGATCGTGGTGGGTGTTAACCCTTTACCGCCAAATCGGACTTTCAAGTTGCGTTTAAAAAAAGACAGGTTTTCTAAGAATTTGATGTTTTCTTTCATTTTTTTCAAAAAATTCAAATGAACAAAAAGTCTTAGATTTACATTTTACATATGTGTACAAAGTTTCAAAGTTATCGGTCTGTAAATAATGGAAATAAAACTTCCAATTTCCAATGGAAATTTCCAATTTCTTGTGGAAATTTTATTTCAGTTATTTACAGACAAATCACTTTGAAACTTGGTACACATATGTAAAAAGTAAATCTAAGACTTTTGTTCGTGTGAATTACAAATTACAAGCTGTCCTGTAAGCTCACAGATACAGAAAAAATGCTATAAGGCTGCTGATATGAAGCTTGCAGTGGACAAGGTAGTTGAAATGCTCAATGGCCTGTTCATGGATACGGTAATATCACATCAATAATACGGTAATTAGTGTATATGGTAATAAATCAATAAAGGAAAAACAAGTAAAAATCACAGAAAATGTCACTTATTCTACCTCTACATCATCTACAATGAAAGAGGAGGACTTCAGAGTACTGTTAGTAATGGATGAGTACACTTTGCATGCTTCAAAATGTTTTAAAATTAAGTTTTATTCCAAGTGTCCTGAGTAGCCCCGTTCGACAGGGCTACTCAGGTCACTCTTTTTTTTTGCTTCTGGTACCTTACAAATAGCATATGGAATTTTTTTTGGAGAAGCCATGTGATAGCCCTTGCAAAGAGCTTTGAAATGAGCCTAAACTTGTTTATGAAATGTTTCATGGTAAGAAGTTATGAATGGAAAACGTTCATAATCGTCAAGAGTAGCCCCGGTTGACGGTACTATTTTAATTGTAGGTTCCGCTACAAAAATTCCATTTATTTTCTCTTTGCAGTATTTAAAATTTAATTAGGAAGTACTGGTACCCCCTATTATAAATTTTAGCCATCCAATGCAATTGAGAAAAACTAAATCACGGAATTTGTCCAGAAAAAATGATCGTCTGGCAACCCTGCTTAAAAAAAAAGTACAAAAAATGAAATAATTGTGCAAGATGAAGCAATCATAGTCAACATGTTAAAGTTGGAGACAATGCATGAATCAATTGACATATAAATAATTAAAAAAATTACAATATTAAAAAAATAACAATAATTTTGTCCACTACAAATCTTATGATTGATACCTATTTGACACACTTCTACCTTTCCAATCAATATGAAATTTTGCACAATTGCATAAAGTTGGAGACGGAGATGATGCATGAATCAGTTGACAGAATAAATAATTATAAAAAGTAAAAAAAATTATTTTCGTTGAAAAAATTATCATTATATACATACTTGAAATTAATTTTTTTAATATATGAAAATAAAATTAGAAATTCATTGTACATGTGTAACATCAAAGACACTGGATTTTTTAGAAGTGTTGTCTTTAAAAAGTAATTTTTAAACACATATCATCACCTTTACAAATCACCCCTTCAATACATTGCAGAGATCAAATTCCTTGGATTCATCTTTGACTGGCACATCACCTGGCGTCCCCACATTAAAGCCCTGACCATCTGCTGCAAAGCACACCTCAGACTCCTCACTGATATTGCAGCAAGGTGCTGGGAAGCTGACTTTGTCACTTTGAAGACTAAACCTGGCTTCAATTTGTCCGAAACTTGACTGTGGATCTTTAACATTTTTACCAGCAGCTCCATCCCACTTGGCACACCTTGGCTTCATCCAGTTTGCTGCAGCTTGCCTAATGCTGGGTGCTCTCTGCTGCATATCAAATTCATCTTGCCTCTTCCAGACAAATTTGTCATCTTCAGTGACTTACTCAGCTGCAAATCCACCTTGAGATCCAATGCTGCTCTCTCCCACTTCTTTATCCCATGGATCATAGATGCCTATAACCAGCTTGCACCAGCAAAAATAACAGTTGAGTGGGTGCCAACCACCAAGATATTCCAGGCAATCCTGTTGGTGACTCTCACATATGCATTGATGAATTTCACTACCAAAAATTTTGCCCAATATTACAGATTGATCTGAAGAGGTGCAGGCAAGGAGAGGCAAAAAGATGAAGTGACAGAAAAATAAAATAAATAAAAAAAACGTTAAAAAAACCACGTTTTGTTTTCTTAACGGACAAAAAAGAAAAACATTAACTCTTATATAATATTTTAAATGTTTTTCTTTTTTGTCCGTTAAGAAAATGTGGTTTTTAAAAGTTTTTTTATTTGTTTTATTTCACTATTTTTAGTTTTGTAAAAACCAGAAAAACGTGGTTTTCAAAAATATTTATTATATTTATTTATTTTCTACTTTTTAGTTAGCAATTTTAGCAATTCAAATCAATTTCCAGTGTTGGCAAGTGTGGATGTTTGAGAAAAAACTCAATTCCAAACCATGAATTTTTAGTGTTTAATTTTATTTTTAAATTTTTTTGTAATTTTTTTTCTAAATTATTATTTCAGATGATCAAATCTTGAATTGTTAGGCAGCATAAGCATGCATGCCAAATTTCAACTTACTAGGATGTTTAGAATTGCTCTAAATTAAGGTTTGAATTTTTGATGACAGACACACACGAAACAAAGTCAAGAAAAACGTGGTAAAATATATCCAAGCAAGATGTCGTGCCACTCCAGTCCTGTTGGCAATGTATTTGGGAAACTATACATCATTCCCCACAGGCTCACACACAGGCAAATGTAATCAATACTGGTAGCTGCTTACAAAGATTGACATGATTGGTTGGCAGCATCTGTGGTCGTCCCATACGGTATGGGAGAAAAAGCATTAATGAGGAGTACAAGTTTACCTGCTTAAGTCATCTATGCACTGGGTATAATAAACATTCTAGAGTAAGGAAATGACACTCATTGCTAAACCATGGTTATTTTTAATGCCTAGTGTATAGTTTTAACCAGTATTTTTTAAATCCCAGAATGTAATTCTACAATAAATTTTTTACACAGGTGTTGATGATTTCCAGCAAGTGTTGATAATTTCAGACAAGAATCTTCTTTGAATTATCAACTATGTGGGCAGACACTCTATTCATTGTTTTGATTTCCATTTGTACTGCATTTTTTGGAGAAGGTGAGTTTTGTTAAATAAAACAAAAAAAAATTGCCAATTAATTTTTTTAACTCAAAGATCAACTTGACTGATCTAGTAAGTTACCACCAATGACATAGAAGTCACCTTGCTGCTGAAACTGCTTCCAACTTGATGCATGCCAATAATATATGTATAATATGAGTTAAAAATATATTGTGTACCATTTATCCATAGGAAATAGAATAATGTGAAACTTTGAATCTTACTAGATAGTTCAGGTGATGTGGTTTATAAAATGAATAATTATGATCGGCTGGCAAGTATCGTGGCAAATTTTGTGTCATTGATGTTATCTATAACCCATTAAACTAAGTTGTGACAGAAACATTAATCGTTTCACAATGCAATCAAAATATACCTGTCACTGAAATGCTGACATAAATTTGTTATGAAAATGATTTACCGTTGAACGGGGTAAAAAGGGACGGGCGGTGTAAAAAGGGACAGTCCTCCAACATTTTTTTAGAAATATTGTAGCAGCTGAACTAATTACAATATTGCAAAACTAAAAATAGTGGTGTAAAGTTATACATTTATTACCTCTTAAAAATCCCTGAAAAAAGTGTGAAAAGTGAGATTTTGGAAAAGTACCTCTGCTAAGGTTTGTAGCAGAAAAAAATATTTGTCATATTAAAAAATTTCACCTACATAAAAGTTGCACACTAGTGTTGGCTTAAAAATATGATTGACAGAATTTGCATATCTCATTCCAAGAAAAAATGGTAGCCATTTCCGCAAAACAGGGTAATAACGGACACCCGCATGGGGTAATAAGAGACACCCCTAAAATTGCATTTACAGTAGAACCTTGGTTAGCAAAGGCTCCAGTTAATGAAAAAATTAATTGACAACAAAGAATTTTGATTACATTTACCTTGCTCAGTGAAAAAATTTCACTTAATAAAAAATTACTGCATCAGTCATCACAAAATTCTGCATAGAATGTCACAGATAGAATTGAGCCCTGGGCAACAAAGAAGGAATAGTAATTAACCTTAACTATGATTTATTTCTCCAAAAAATATGAAGGTTGTCACTAAAATATTCCTGCTGTTTCAGGTATGTTTTTTTACAATCTTTTTTGTTATCGTGAAATCACTTGATTAAAATTGTGCAAAATTATAAACCATCCTGTAAGCATGCAGATACAGAAGAAATGCTACATGGCTGCTGATATGAAGCTTGCAGTGGACAAGGTCATTGTCAATGTTCAATGACATGTCCATGGATACAGTAATATCACATTAATAATATGGTATGGTATGAATAAGGTGATATTATATCAATGAAGAAAAAAACAAGTAAAAATCACGGAAAATTTCATTTATTATACATTTACATCATCTACAATGAAAGAGGAGGACTTCAGAGTACCGTACTGTTAGTAATAGATGAGTACACTCTGCATGCTTCAAATGTTTAAAATTGAGTTTTATTTCAAGTGTCCCTTTTTACCCCATTCCCAGATTAATTCAGGAGCCTTTTATATTTCATCTAGCACCTAACAAATAGCATATGGAATTTTTTGGAGATGCCATACAATAGCCCTTGCAAATACCTTTAAAATGAGCCCAAACTTGTTTATGAAATGTTTCATGGTAAGAAGTTATTAACAAAAAACGCTCAAAACTGTCCCTTTTTACCCAGTTTGACGGTATATATTGTTAAAGTACATCAAGTTAGTAAAAGAAGAAACAGCTCATACTGCTCTATAATTGCATTGCATATGATGTATTGATACTTAACTGTTCACTAGTGGGATCAGAAAACCAAGAATGTCACTAGCCATGGGATCAGAATACCAGGACTGTGAATAGCCATGGAATCAGAATAGCAGGACTGTCAATAGCCATGGGATCGGAATACCAGGACTATCGATAGCCATGGGATCAGAATACCAGGACTGTCAATAGCCATGGGATCAGAATACCAGGACTCCAGGATACACTTTTTGTTTCTAATTTTGCCCAAATTATCCACAGCCTCCGAAAATTGCTTTAGTTATTTAGCAAAGGTATTGTTCATTACAGTGAGCTACTAATTCTCAACAAATGGCTGGTGCACTCCAAAACAAAGTAATTAGCATTGATGTGCAACTGTGAACTGTCTCTGCTCATTACTGTTGTAGCTGATGCAGATGCAATAATACATAGAGGCTAGAGCCAACCTTGCTATTTCCATGTTTATTACGTAATCAAAACTGTATTCTTAACTAGACATTTTTTATTACAAGTCTTAATTTGTTAAATGCCATATTGTTGTTATTGTATGGCTGGGGTAGCCAATAATTATTTGTTTAAGAGTTAAGAGAACAAATTGCTGCCGAGTGTGAATTTGATTTTTAAAATATGCTTGGCTTGCTGTACCCATTGTTGTCTAATATTTTATTCAACGTTTTTCAGGCCTCACTTGGTTGTTGGTCTACAGGACAGAAAAATACCAAAGATTAAAGGCAGATGTTGAAAGGCAATGTAAAAAAAGTAAGTATAATCTTTGATTTATTTGAACAAAAATCTTAAGGTACCAAGATGTTATTATTCATGTTAATAAATTACTATTTTTACCACGTTTTTCTTAGCTTTGTTTCGTGTCTGTCTGTCATCAAAAATTCAGACCTCAATTTAGAGCTCTTCTGAACATCCTAGAGACTTGAAATTTGGCATGCATGCTTATGCTGCCTAACAATTCAAGATTTGATCATCAGAAATAATAATTAAAAAAATTTTTTAGAAAATAAATTAAAAAAAATAAATAAAAACACGATATTCATGGTTTGGAATTGCGTTTTTTCTCAAACATCCACACTTACCAACCCTGGAAATTTATTTGAATTGCTAAAATTGCTTACTAAAAAGTAGAAAATAAATAAATATAAAAATATTTTAAAAAAACACGTTTTTCTGGATGTTACAACACTAAAATAAATGAAATCAGATAAATAAAAAATTTTTTAAAAACCATGTTTTCTTCATTGAAGAAAATAGAAGTGATGAAGAATAGAATAGAACTTTTGAAGAATAGAATAGAACATTGAAGAATAGAACTTTTAAAAATGTGGTTTTTAAAAGTTTTTTTATTTAATTTGATTTCATTTATTTTGGTTTTGTAACAACCAGTAAAACGTGGTTTTTAAAAAAAATTTATATTTATTTATTATTCTTCTAATTTTGGTATGTTTGCTTAGGAGACTAGGAGTTCAGATGCTTAAACTTGTATCTCACGAATTAATTGTTCACTTATTTGCAACCTAAAGTTTTCATTTTGGTAGTTTGTATCTTTTGATATCATGTCCTAGTTTTAGCTGTAGAATTTAATTCAAAAAATTTTTACCTTCAATATTTCCTAGTAAATAGATGTTTTTTATTTTCTGTTACATTAAATCTAATAAGTTTTATGACTTAAAACAGTATGCATAAACCTAAATGTATGATTTAAAGTTAATTTGTTCAATAATTTATTTGCCAATTTCAGTTGAGAAGAAAAAAGAAGCTGTGGAGCTGTCTGATAGCCGGCAGAAGAAGAAGCTGGAGCGAGAAGAGGAGCGCCTCAAGACTACCAACAGAGACCTCTCCATGGTCAAGATGAAGAGCATGCTAGCCATTGGCTTTACGTTCACTGCCCTTCTCTCCATGTTCAATTCCATGTAATTTAGCATTAATTCCAGTATTATTAGCATTAGTGAAATTGGTTATTATGGTTCTTCGTACATGCTGCCTAGATAATTTCTACTTAGCTTCAATTTGTAAATTTTTTTTAGAAAAAAATGCTGCTAAGTGCTAGGAAGAAGCTCCATGAACAAGAGCTTCTTTGAGAGTTTGATCTTATTCGTTTCCCACATTGAAATATTCAAGGATGTTTTTCTAAACCATGCTAAATTTCTTTTTTTATCTGCTCTTTTGCCAATGGCCACTGTTAATTGCCACAGTTAATTAACATTTAACATTGATTAGATTTGATGGGCGCGTGGTCGCGCAACTTCCCTTCACGCCCATCTCTTGGCTCCAAGGACTCAGCCATAGAAATCTAATGGGGGATGACTACACGCACTGCTCCTTCATCTTCCTCTACATCCTCTGTACCATGAGCATCAGGCAGGTGTGTATCTCCACATCTGCAGCATGAGCATCAGGCAGGTGCGTACCTCCACATCTGCAGCATGAGCATCAGACAGGTGCGTACCTCCACATCTGCAGCATGAGCATCAGACAGGTGCGTACCTCCACATCTGCTGCTTGAGCATCAGTCAGGTGCGTACCTCCACATCTGCTGCTTGAGCATCAGTCAGGTGCATGCCTTCACATCTGCAGCATTAGAATCTGACAGGTGCGTAACTTTTAATCGTTTACCTCTACGACATGAGCGTCTGACGGGTGCGTGTAAACCTCCACTGATTAATACTGTGGAACCACTAGGCTCTCCTTCATACAAATACGCTGAATATACGACTAAACATTTACAGTACATTATCCTATTCAGTTCCTATTTCATGGTCCATCGTCGCAACATGCCAAATGAATTGATGTGTAAATACCCACAGAACATCCAGAAGATGCTGGGCTTCGCTCCATCCAGGGCGGCGAGCAAGCATGGCAGCAGCATCTTTGGCGCGCAGCCCAACAACGTCCAGATGTCACCTTACAAGTCTGTTTTAGATTCATTTGTTACTAGTCTGTCATTAACCCTTTCGCGGGCAAGCATAGAAATACAAAGAAATTTAAGTTTCTAAAAACAGTACAAAAATTATGAACTATTGTAAGGTATATTTTTCTTTAATGTATTTTTTCAAAATTTTGCATACTGGAATAGTAAATCGCACTTGAATCGCGCGAAAGTTTTTTAATGTAATTCAAATTTTATCCAATTTAATCAAGTTACCAAAAATAGCTCAACAGATATTGCTACTTCCGTCTTAAAATAATGTGGAAAGTGCGTCAATATCATTGTCCGGGTAAAACCTTTCAATTAAACGCTCATTATTAATAATTAAATTTTTGGGCATGGTAGGGAGTGATGCCTAGGGTCACATGATTGGCGATTGGCAGAGGCATGATAACGTTGCCTCAAACACAAAACCGGGGGCTCGTGGTGGGTCTTACAGGAAGGAGATGTTAAGTGACCAGCTATGGCAACTTGCCGCGCGAAATGGTTAATAGAAGATCACTTCCATTTTCTATATATAATGGGTCTAATCAATAATTTGTCGTTTTCTACTTATCTCATTTCCTTTGATGTTCTCATAATTTTAATTCTCATTGTTTTTGATGACATTTTTCATGTTAGTGGTGCAATATCTATGTATCGAAATTATTTACGCCTATTCTCAACTATTTCCCAGTCAATTTGTTGAGCATCGTCCTGGTGTGATGAGCTTTGAGAAAATAGAATATCAAGTCCTCAATCAAAGTCGAGACAATTATTTGTGCAGCTTAAGACTGCACAATTTAATTATCTATATCTTAGTGAACAAGTCTTCTTTCCTCAGGCTATGAACGTTCCTGCGTCGCCTCGCTGGTGATGGCGTTCGTCCGAAGGACGATGTGGTCGCCACTTGTTACTGCAAATATTTTGTAAATCCCATCTAACAGGTAGCATTTCGTGTCAGATACAATTCATTTTTTTTCTCACCCGAAGCTGTGAAAGTTGAATTTATTTTACGAGTTAAATCCATTTAGAGTTCCATACGTGAGTGACGACGCGAAAGTGGCTTCGTGATATGATGGTGTAGCGCTTGCTGCAAGCCTGCAACAATAGGAAGTCCTTTTCATGACTTCTCTTATTCATGCGTTGAGTGATAAAATTTGTTGGGAATCTATCCCCTACTTGAGTATTCATGATCATTCTAATGATGAATCACGATGAAAATACCTTTCCGTTTCAACATTTTCAGTATAGTTTTGTTGAATTTTTCTGTCGATTGCGAGACTAATTTTAATCGATATCCTCGTACCAAGCTTGTGACTAATGTGTCCTATGAATTTTATTGATGTTATCTTTCCTATTGCTTTCTCATCCATCGATTTTCAATAAATAAGTTTAATGTTATAAGACTACTCAAATATGGGAACCTTGTAGGAGTGTGATCGATATGGTGTCATATTCATTACTTATTATAAATGGGAAAAATGTAGCCTTCGAATTCAATTGTCGCTGATAGTATCAGAGTGCTCTAGCAATTATAGTGACCAAAGTGTGCACGAATACAATATTTAAATTACCGTACCTCTCGCTTTTAACGTCCGTATTAATCGAACGATAATCTCGTCGATAAGATACTATGGTCCTTTCCTCGAAAATGAACCAAAGAATAATTAGTAGCTTCATACCACTGCTCCGTGCAAGGTGTACACATGAACTCGAAGGCTAACTTGAATACTCTTCGATTGAGCCTATCTATAATTGAACGTTTTCCGTTCCTTGCATGATATTCAATTTAATGACGTCTTGAAGAATTTATAAGCCCCACAAAATTTAACACGAAGGTTAACTGACTAATCTAAAGAATATTTTAATACTTCTCATACAGAGGCAAGTGAATGCAAGATGTAATGAGCTCTTTTTATTAGGAATGTCTAAATTATAACGTAACAAAAAAAAAATACGCAGTAAAAATCAAACTTTTGCCCGCATCGTGTTGATGTGCGAAGGGAAAGCGCTTTTACCAGACAAAAAATACCATTGATCAAAACAAATCGTATGAATTGACATTCTATAAAACTGACGAGACCTTCAGGAGCAATGAATCGATGTGTCCAGAAATCTTACCTCGCTACCGTTCAGTTTTGAATCAAGTAATATTTGCCGAACAGAACTTAAATCGGCGAACATAGCGAAATACTACCGAACAAATGAACAATGAAGTTTAGAACACCGTGTCATTAATTTAACATGAATCTCAGAACCGGCAGTTTGCAGAAAAAGAACGGCTATTGTGTAACTTTACAACGGCATAGGTAATTTTCCGGTAGTGGCAAATCTCATGAGGAAAAAACCTACACACCACTTTTAAAGAAACTTCAGTAATCAAAGAGTCTCTTATTGAAGTAAATAAATTGGCCTTAAATTAAGATGATGAATGAGTTAACGAGCACTCCTGAGGGAGGAGGTGAATGCTTGTGGAAGGAACTTGATACACTGATGAACGTAAGTAATGCTACGAAATAGTGATTTATATGGCGATAACTATATGGTTATGATGACCAATGATTAAGTAAATAACATGAAGAATTAAATGATGCTGAACCGTGTGAAAATAATGAACTACGTGGTAATGATCCTTAACATGACATTAACGCAAAATATGATAATGATGCATAATAATGAACAATGAGGAAACTACATGGTAATGATGCAAAGTGTTGAATTTATGACAATGATTGTGTGTGGCAATGATATCACAGTCGCAGCTTTGGCAGTGCTCTCCAAACGCCGATTCTCCCAAGGAACATAATCAAGAACGACACATTCGTCACTCATACGGTACTAAAAACAGCACAATCATGACATTGATATGAGAAATGTTGCCGCGATATCTGTTAAAGCGACGTAAAAATCGCTATGAAGGGCTGACATACATTCAACTCTGAACGAAAAGTAGTGAATTAAACAAGATGCCCCACTTATTCACGATTACAATTAGAGATCTAATTCGAATCACGATTGATGTCCTAAAATTAATTTAGAAACGAATCATTTGATTAGCGGAATAGTAAAGAGATCAGTTGTCTTAGAAAAACTAAATACCGGCTGGAGATACACCAATGTCACAAGTTGTATATTAAGGCACGCAAGGTTAACACTAATCATAGATGTGGACCAGCCACATATACGCCTCTACCACACATAAATACTCAACAGGCTAACCACACTAATGATATGAAATGGCAGTAGTCAAGTAACATTTACGGCAAGACTCAAGCAAAGAGCCACGAGTTTGAGCGCACCCATTATATCGTGAGGTTTCAACACACATGCTACTTCCAATTAACATTTTGTTAGAACATTACCTAGTCACTAAAATTGGGCAAGCTCAATTACTATTACTTTAAAAAAAATTACAGCTGAAATCAACCTCTGGCACGTACAGTCTTATTTTTTAACGTCTCGATTTGAACACAATTTCAGCAGATCATTTCAATCGCCATGAAAGAATATGAGGAACCAGGTAAAATATTTTGCTACTTTGTACCATCACTCAGGCACCGAACGTTCAAGTTTAGGGGTAAAGAATCACATGCCTAACAATCCTAAGTTTATGCTATTACACTTCTAATTATTGGCACCTCAATAACTCTGCATTGCACAGGATAACACTGAAGGCAATTGAACAAACACCACGATAGTGCGAATGAGAGGAGAACAAATCCATGATTTGTTCACCACTCATGTCACTGTATTTCCTCTACTGCCTTCACAACGGAAAACTAGTGTAGGAAGGTTGGCCGAGAGTTTTCTTGTACGTTCAAGACTCTAGCGAAGCCATGAGGCTGTTGTACACTAGAGACTGGAAATCGTTACCTGAAAACTGCGACGACCTACCACAAGGGTTCTGAGGTGGCAATGCAGACGATGCATCACTAAACGGACTTGAATAGGAGCTATAACTAGAGCTGTAACTTGTGCCTTGGTTCATGCCGTAACTGCTACTGCTGTTGCCAACGAACATGTTACTGGAACTACCATGTCTGCTATTGCCGAAAATGTGGTAACTCGTTCCTTCACTGTTGCCGAAAATGTGACTACTACCGTGATTACCTACACTATTGTCGAACAGCCCCCCACTATTCGAGTACGATGAAAAAGAACCGTACGAAGAATGGCCGGACGTTGGAGTCGTTGACATAGATCGGCTACCAGACGTAGAATAGTTGCTACGCATTATCTCCTGGTCGATGGCTTCAATTATCGTATCTAAATTACTCCGAAGCCCAACACTGCTGCAGGAGCTCGGAGTGACGTTAGATGCGTTAAATAAACCACCGTTGCTCATGCTGCAACTGCTGCCGACGTTGGTGTCAGACGACGCTTGGGAGCAGCTGCTGCTCGCATCGTTACTGCAGCCAGCTGAAGAGAACGCGTCTACTTGTCCACAAGAAGATGAAAAACTACTAACATTACTACAAGAACTATCATTGCTACTGCTACCACTACTTCGGTCGTTATTGGTTTGACTACCACTACTACAACTATAACTACTTATGTACTGAGTGGAACTACCTCCGAACTGACAGGAATTCGTGAAGTAATTTGAGCTACTCGCACTATAGTGATTGCTTAGATGGTTCATGCAATACATGGACTGGCTGGTGGTTGAGTAATATCCGTTCGAGTTGCAGACAGAAGTGTAGTGCCCATTTCCCGAACTGTAATAGCCTCCAGAGGTTTCAGACGAGGAATACTCAACTCCACTCACGAAAACGCTGCAGCTGCTCGTACTGTAGTTTTCCTTGTTCTCGTCGGGGGCATAACGCGGTCGTTTGAGTGGTGGTTCATCGTCGTTATTGTCGTTGCCGTCGACGGGAGGAGTTCTGCTAGGCACAGAGTTTCCACTGCCAGAGGTACATGTTGTCGTAAAAGTGCCCGACACGCTCCGGGAAGTGGATGAGGTTGGTCGCGCCAGAGGGCTGATGCTGTTAGCAGCCACGAACGAAGACCCAGCCATCGCGGTGACAGCTGGAGAGTCGCATAGCCCTTGGCTGAGGCCACCAGAAGACATCGTCTCCGGATAGCCGTGCGACAGAACGTGATGCCGGCGCCGGCGGTGCTGACTTAGTCGTTCATCACGAGCTTCTTTGCGTAGAAAACTCAGGTTTGTTCTGGAAATGCAAAAAAAATAAATGGTGCATTCTAAAGATTTTGGAGTACATGTGGAAGACAATGATTCATTTAATTGAATCAATCTTTCTACATAAAAACACATGTTCTACTTACAGTTTAAGGTAAAGCAAATTTTTAAATTACTTACCTATTCAAACATTTCAGTGTGAAATTGTCTTGAAATGAATAATGATATCACATGATATGATGATTATATACTATGTTGGCCCAGATTTGGTTTTACGAATACCGAAATTGCAATCCGATGCTTACTAGCTGAATATACAAAAGAGGCACTCACTTGAGTAGCACATAGCGTAGGAGACATCGTTCGCTATCATCGATCAGACGTAGTCTGCCTTCCAGCAAGCCCATAACCTGGGAGCGATGCTGCGTCTTCTCGCACGTCGTCCTGCTGGCATTGGTGTAACTAGTGTATCCACTAGATGACGAACTACTCAGATGCCCATTTGCTGAAGAAGTTGAGAATGAAAATGAAGTGTCGTTCTGGGAACTGGTGCTGAGCGTTCTCTCAAAGCTGATGCCAGTTCTGGTTTCGACTTCCTCGACGCTCGGCAAGGGGCTCTCGTCTGCACTTGGCGGACTTGGGGAGTCGTCAGGAGAACTTTCATCTTCACTGCTGCTGCTTTCCTCTTCACTAGGATTCTTCACTTGATTCAGTTCTGTGTCGGATGCATCAGATACGCTGCTGTCTGATGCATATCCGTTGTCAGAAGATTGAGAGCCTTTCGAACCTTCGTCAGGGCTAAGCATCCCTCCTTCACTCTCGTCCAGTACATCGTTGGAACAGTCCGCTTTGCATTCGTTGTCATCCACATCCATTGGTTCGACGTTTTTGCATAATCTATCAAGGTCAGTATTGACCATGTCTGTTGCCTCGCTTGATGTATCTGACATATTAATATTTTCAGCAGAGGACTCGTCGGAGTCATTGGCTACTAAAAGCATACCAATCTCCTGCCCATCGTCATCGATGGCAACACGGCCTTGAATGGGGTGAATGAAATCCGACATGATACACGGGCTCACACCCGGGCACAAAATTCCTGAAGCACACATCGATTCACTTCCAACAGAACCTTCTTTTCGTTGTTTTTTGTTGTCCGCATCTGACACCAAGTTTTCGCTGTTGCCCAGCACTATGACAGGATGGTTACTCAGAGCTTCATTCTCAGTAATCAGCTTTTCTTTGTCCACTTGCTTATTGTTATCTCTCTTTTTGAGATCGATAAATTGCAAGCCAACACGAGAGGTCTGTCCCAGCTTGCGTATATCGTCAAGTTGAGCTCGTCTCCAAGCCTGCTCTTCGTTTCTCACACCCAAACAGCACTCGTGTCCAATGGCCATAAAGGGTTCCTGAAATAGATAATTAATATTTAACACAATTACGAAACGAGTGCATTTTCTTACCAATATTGATGCAAAAACATTCAAAATCACTTTTAAAGAGTTGGAAAAAGAGTCGATCATTACTTAAATAATAATAAAATAGAAAACTAGTGCATAAAAACAGCCTTACTCTTGATCAAGAGTGAATTAATGAATATAAAACAGCCTTGGCATACAGCTGCAGTCAATCTGAAGATTAGGCCATCTCTGACTCAACAATAATGAAACAATTTTATATATTCTCGAAAGTTACTAACAAATGCTAAACAGAATATTATGAAGTCAAGTAATCCACCACTAAGAAAGCAAAAAAGGGTTAGGGTAAAACCGGCAAATCAACTGGCCAATTAAATAATGGTTGTGTAAGTTCTCTGCTAAATAATCGTTGCGATTCCCGTAGACTTTTGCCGCTCATAGTATATCGAAGAAAACGAGCAGCGGAAGCAATTCAGGGGCCAGGAACTAGTTAGTGAAGCGGAGAAGCGGGCGCGAAGCTCGAACAGCTGCAGCCTCTGACGCCTGAGGCCCATTTTATATGGTACTCCTACTTCCAAGCATGCGTAATGTAGCTATTAAAATGTGAGAAATTCCACGTGCCATATACAATGACGAGCACGATATACGCTATTAAAGAGACAATGCTGAAACATTCCACATTGCACAATGTAAGTGTTGTGGGAGTAATGTGGTTCAACGAACACGTATTGACATCGAGCAACTTTCGTTCATGATTATCTTGAGGGTGTAAGAACACAAGCGCGGAAAACTACTAAATATGTAAATTAAAATATGCCTCATTTTTGGAGCTTCAAGTTCAGGTTTTACCTGTGTGCTCAACATAAACAACAACGTACCTACATAAAATCAACATTAAAGTCAATACATAGCGATGCGTGAATCTGCAAGAATAGTGACTACTACTAACCCACAATAATAGCTCAACAGAACGAATGCATCCCAGACAATTTTAGTCACAAATCTCCAGCATCTAACACATGGGATCAAAATGGGCTCAATATGGGATCAAAATGAAGTCAAGATGTGGGGTTGCTCCCCAAATCAAATGGTGGATAAATATTTGACCAAACAGATATATAAACAGTGCTAAATTACAAAGATCATGCTCAGTTTGAGGCAAATACAAAAAAATGTTAACACAGGCCACAGGGCACAAGCAGGCAAGAAAATTCACGGACATGCATCTGCATTGCGGGTAGTACGTAGTTCGAACACTCAGCAGCCACCACGAATACGATATCCACATCCTGTGTGTACCAGATACCTCGCGCAGGTCGATTATTCATCAGTGACTAGACGTTTTGCCGACAGTAGCCTTAAACCGTTAGATTTGTTCGGTTAGAAGACGCTTCTTTCACCGACCAAAAAATTTAGCCTCTATTTATTTCATGTGCTTGCTAAAAATTTCATTACATTCGCTTATACAGAAGGACATGTCAAAAATAAACATGAATCATTAATAATTTTAAGCAGTGGAAAACAATAGTGTAATGCCTACTACAAAATATAGAAGTATAACGCATGCCGTGTTGAGTCTGAGATTTGTCGTAACGGCCAAATTGATTGCAAGATATACTATGCTACTCGTATTTCACACAAAGACAAGTGTGGTCGGTGGTATGTTTAAATTGGCATTGCTAAAGTATGAGGCTTCTACTGAGTAGTTGAGAGCTGTCTATCAGTGATAAGACGAATATCCAGCGATAAACTGATAGCAATAGTGTTCAATGTCACTCAATCTGATAAATCCGAACAAAAATGTCTTTATCGTAACACGCGAGGGCCTCGCCATCAAGTAACCTCACAAGCTAAGCCTGGGTTCCGTGTATTGTCAACTTGTCAAGAATTGAAAAAAAGCAAAAGGCTCATTTCCATCAGAGCTAACACTAATTAAACTGCAAGAGATTTAATAAAAATTTTCAGGACAGTTCAAGGCAATCACGTTATAGTACAGTTTACAATAATTTTATTTTCTGAGTATCTAGATTTCGAATTTGACTGAAATATAAACGCGTCGAACATAAAATGTGACTACAATCAGCCTGATTCAGGCGAATCTATATTCACCTGCATGAGCGAGTACCTAGTTGCTGAACTAGTGTAAGCTAGAAAAAAAAATCAATGGAACAACAAAATAAAAAATACCCGCACTCATTCTGTGTTTAGGGGACTTTAGGCCAGTCTCTGGAGCAGACTAACGCCGTTTTTTGTTGCCCTTCACAAGTGAGTGGCGAAGACAGCTTTTCTAGGCGAGAATCAAGTTGCCTAATAAATATTTTGAATTGAGCCACTCGAATTGCGTACTACTCCGATACTTGTAGAGCTTTATTGTTATACAAGAGAAAATTAAATTGGTACTTTCAGTCTGAATATTACATCTATTCGGTACTATGAAGAGTTTTAATTCAAGACGCAATAATTGTGTGTTAGTGTTGATGCTTTTATTCTTGTACAAAGCTGAGACATTTTTCGCATCAACCACTTCCTGAATACTCGATAGCCTACATGCGGCATACCTAATGCCTTATAGGCCTACTGTAAAAGACAACTGAAAAAAATACGGAAAAAACTGCCAAGAAATGTTTGTAACTTACCTTTAAAAAAAGATGAAAGTTATTCCCAGCGATGTTGGTAATCCAATATATGCGTAATCCACAAGCAGAGCAATCAGAGCACAATCAGTGAACTATCAATCACTGTAATGAACAGAAGTCACGGAAGATTATCACCCGTAGATGAAAGTAATATTTGTCAACAGCGATCACTAAACCACTCTAGTTCAAACACAACACTTGGAAAATTCGCTATGGGATCACTGAAATTTCTTACTCACAGAAATCCTACTAAGCATGAAAAAAATTCGCTCCTTGAACGAGGATTCACATCACCACAGAAGAGCATCAGAGGTCTAACGCACACATCTTCACTCTCTGAGTGCTCCAGCTACAATGATTCCGCCCGCCTGCTGCACAATGAGAGCTAGTGCTGCTACGATGAGAGCGGACACAATACCGCGCCGAGCATTGGTGGGCGCCGAACATACGTCATTGTTATCTGCACATACGTCACCGTTCTCTTGCCAGCGCCATAGGCTACATAAAATGATGACGTAGCGAACGAAAAGTTTATATTGGTCGCATGTAATGACGTAGTGAGCGAAACACTTTCATTGGAGGCTCGTCACGGCGTCACTGTCTTTATACCTTTCATTGGCTAAGTTGTGTTCATTTGGGTGCGTTTTTAATTAATATCGCGAGACTATTAGTGAAAAGATTCTCAAATAAGTTTGTGTGTAGACAGGAAATGAAATTTTTTTCATTTATGAGGATGAGAACTAGAATCGATCGACACTAAGAGTAGAAATTCGAAATTCGTACATTATTACCTATTCGTTCCAAATAAAATAAAAATTTGTCTCTTGTAAGTCATAGAATAGAGAAGAAGTGTCGGCACTGAAGAAATAGGCCCATGGTGGCTAGTATCCGGTTAAGAAATGCTTTTCATCTATTAATGAAGCTTCTTCGTTTTTCGAATCATCAAGTATAGGAGATGAAGTTTCGGCAAGTAAAGACCACACCATATACGAAACACATTGAAAAGATTGCGCAAAATCAACGGCGTCCTAAACAACGGAGCCATTCCCGTGTGTGTCCACGTGAGGTGAGCTAAGCATTACCGATGCAATTTAACAATATTCAGAACCAAATTAGCGGGGTCATGTTACAGTATTAACACAAATTTGAGTACTTGTCTCACTTTACTGTGACCTTTATGAATTTTACATTTCAACTCTAAAAAAATAAACGAGTTAATTTTAATGAGATTGCATGACAATATGTAGCGTCATCAATATACAACCAAATGACTTGATGTGATAAAATTTTACGAAATAATTATTTGAAAGCCTTCTCTTCAGAATTTAGAACAACCTTATGCAAATGAAGTGGATGGCTGTAAAAGTAATTCTTAGTATTTTGATAACAATTTTGGCTCCGCGAAATTTACGTGAATATTTCATGACACCTAATTAACAAGTAATTATAATGTAACCGTGATGTATTCGCAACCACATGGAAACAAACCCTGAAAGCTGTAAGCTAAGCACTGCGTCAGTTTTTCGGATTGTTGAGATCTGTTTCGATGTATACCAAATAATCCTGTTATAAAATCTCTGGACGTGTTCGATACCCCGAACAGCTTATCACACAGTCGTATCATATATTATAATAAAGGGGCTGAATGAGACACAAGAAAGTGAATAGAGCCATTCACATCTGAAATATTTTCCCGCATAAGAAATGATAATACAGTACAGATAAAAATAAATTTATATTACTGATGCGTAAGTTAAAATTTTAAATCTCTTTAAAAGGCTATTTTTATCCGTGCCATACCTTGAAATTTTAACAATAGATGGTTAATTTATTCACAAACTTTCACAAATTCCCGCTTGTGCTTTAATGTGTTTAAATATAGTGTCTAATATGTTTTGTCATATATGTGAAGTCGTGTGCCCACCTCAACGAATCCTATTGAAGCATATACGTTTCTAAAACCTAATCCAATATAATTTGGTTATAAAGATTAGCCAGAATATAGGCGGCGAATGGAGCAAAAAAAATCTATAAAAATGTGTTTTATACATAAAGGATAAAAATTTTCCAGATAGCATTGCACTGTCGTCCTCAATATTCTTTCCGTAATATAAGCGAGAGCTATGGGTGTGATTGTTCGGTGAGAGGCTAGGTGTATTAGTGAGCGTTCGGTGAGAGGCTAGACGTGTTAGTGAACAAACAAATAAGCAGAGACTGAGCGGGAGAACTTGTGGGCACGCGGCCGACACAGCTAAGGCGGGTAGGGAGGGAGTTGGTGCATTGACAGAGGGGGTGGGGGAGCCAGGCCATGGAAGCAGCACAAGACACGTACGTACGCACACATACACGCCCCACACCACCTTCTCCTGAGCAAATTTTAGATTAATACTCAAACTAGAAGCTAAAATGCTTAATATATGTTTCATATTTCGAGATGAATTGGAATGCACGACGTATTATACAACGGGAATTATAAAATATCTGATTATGTGTTCTGTTTAAAATTGATTGGCGTTTTTTACATCCAATGTAATATTCAGTAAGATTTTATTTTATTACGGGAAATTAAGAAATTTGAGAGATTCTCTAAGATATATCCACGTTGTTAACAGAGGAATACCGCAGTGGAAGCTGCACTGCCTTTTGTACAATTGAACGCTATATCACCATGTTATTAAATTTATCTATGATAGGCACTACTCACCATTTTTCGATTATAAAAAAATCTTTTTAAGGCTTGAACACGGCAACTTCACTCTGTGTCATCTATTGTTTTATAAAGAGAAAAGATCCGTTATTTCCTCATTAATGTATAATTCATTAATTCTAAATTGACTCAATTATTAGGTTGAACTGAAATAATGTACGAAATACATAACCATTATGATGATCCTTTCAGAGAAATCTCGATACCTGGCAATGGAATGCACAAGAAATAGATAGCTAGGTCAGGTAGCGTCAGTGGTTCAGTCCACTTAGCTCTACGTACACTAAAGCTCACAGACAACAGCCGAACGTGATCTACTTAGGCCTCACACAACCTAAATTGTTCCGAGAAATTGTGAAACACGGTTTGACAAACTTCAAAGCGTAGGCTTTTGGTTCAGTAAAACAGGAAAGCCGGTCTGCTAAGAAAAAGTTTACGTCAAGACTTTTCCAGATCATCGTTAATAGCAGCAGGTCATGAACACATAAATTGGCTGTAACAGATAATAGCCATCTAATGAAACAACGATTTTCTAAAACAGTTGAAACGATATTGGCATTAATTAAAGCAATCAAAAAGAAACAATCAAAAGACGTTGATCATATGTAGTTGAATTTTTTATTATCTGTAATGGATGATTTAAAGTTAATTATTATCTTGACATAAACACATTCACAATCACCTACATTGATGCCATTATTATTATTGACTATAACTGCTATCAAACGAATTACGCCGTCGTTTTGCTTTGTCATGAACGACTATCAACGCAGATTTGTCGCAACAGCGTTTCTTCTTATCAGCATACACAAGAGTCATGTCAGACGTCGTGCCAACGGTGCAGTATTAGGCGAGAAGTGTACACTGATAAAGTAGAAGCCAGGATTGATTTTGTAGCCAACACTGAACGTGTGGTGAATTTAGTTTCTGATTTGTCTATCGGAATCCGTTTATCTCATCCAAACGAATTGAAATTTGGTTCGCTGAGCATAAGTGACGACTATGGATGTTGCTAACATTTAGGTGACGCACCTGCCACACTAATATATATTGTGACAGGTGACACTTGCATACACGACTGTTCAATGACAAAATGAATTAACTTATCAGGAATACAGGACAGAACTCGCAGCGTGCCGAGAACCATTAGTTCTGCGCATCAGCAGCGTCTCCGCCCTCCCAGTCACCAGAGGACCTCGTCACTGCGTGAGCGTACGCAGCAAGGCAGGTTTGCCTAACCACACTTCCTTTCATTCTTGAGATTCAAAACTTCTAGCATGTTTTGCCCCAACCCAATGCATTGCCTAGAATGTATATTCAAGAATTATTGTTCGTTTCCGTATGCATTTCACCGAATGATTGCCACTTTTCTCTCTAAAGCTGGTTAGATGTTACAGTCATTATTTGGAATACTCGACTCAACTGATATCAGTAAATACAAATTTAAACGAAGTGGAAATAGGAAAACTTCCTTCATGGTGGACTAGTAAAAAAAATACAAGTATGGAGTACAAAAATTTTATCGATTACGCAATCAACTTTTTTAATGAAAAATAACGATAATAATCAGTCAACTGCATACACAAACAAAAATATAATGAATATATTTTAAAATTTCCCGGTTCATATTACTTGCTCAATTTTTAATTCATCACCTCGTGAGGCTAGTATGAAATAAGGTCAAACTGGCATGATGGCATCATTACCTTCATTCTCATCCAAGTGATATGGTTGTGGGGGAGAGGGTTGGCTGGCGGGGGAGGGGGGGGGATAGTTTTCGAGCTATCTGTGGTCTAGCTATAGGAGCTGAGGTTCTTACCGAGACGCATTTCGAAGTGAAGGAATTTCCTTCTTGGTTACTCACTGCTAATTTTATTGATTCGGATAAAATTTTTGGAGATGAACGTTTCGGGCTTTAGAATTTGTAATGCTTGTCTTTGATTGGTTCGAAAGTTCAAGGCCGATAATCAGGTTTCGCTTTAAAAATGATTATGTTCGGAAGCTATTCACACTATCGATAACAATTACATTTGAAACTTCATTGCATCCGCAATTTTTTTCAAGTAAACTCCACAATTCTTAGTTAAACTATTTTATATGCGTTAGAAAAATTAGCTTTCCTTATCAATATAAACTAAGTGATAACGAAGAAGTACGTGAGAGCCCCAAAGCTCGGTTCAAGCCACGCAAATACTCACCAATTTTGTGGCTCATGACAACAATTCGGTTCACGTCACAAACTTCATCTTTATTACGATTATTTACGAGAAAACAATTCTATATTCTTCTGTCAAGCATTACTAATTACAAAAAACATCAACGAACAAACAAATCGGTCCCAATCATAACAATAATTGTCAATTTTAACAAAAGTCACCAACAAAAAACAATATTATCACTAGAAATACAAAAAAAAAACTATTGACAGCCACATTAGTATTGAAAACTAGCTCCAACAATACAAGTAATACCTAATACCAGATAGCAGCAACCAGGACGATCACCATGAACCGTCTTCAAACACGCAACCAAATCATGGTAACTCGGCACATTCCTACCTCGAGTTTTCCCTAAGCGCAAATCTTCCCCGAAACTGCCCCGGTGAACGCTCTTCCCTTTCCCCCCCTAGCTTGAGGCAAGCCTTGGGTGTCTCC